GGAAACCTCACGTCCCTCGTGGTGAAACTTGTGATCTTAACCATGGTGATGGCTGATTATGATCAATTGATCTGAAAAGGAATTGGAATTGGAAAGAGAAGTCTCTCCAGGTAATCGCAATCTAGTTGCAATGCGGGGCCGTGGGCAGGCACAGTATAAACTCCGGGCTGTCAACTCAGGCTGTGACCACGCAAAAGAAGCAATTAGATGCTATAGAAGACAGCTGAAAGTAGCGAAAGATAATTGAGAAAACCAAATACAAAATTGAAGCGACCAGGAGTGTAGCTGGGCTGGGGAAGTTACTTATACAAGGCGGGCAGACTCCCCCTCCCCCTCCACGCAGTGTGGGGAATTTCCCCTCATTGGCGGAGGAATTGCTCCAGCGCGTGGGTTGGGTTTCTCCGCCAGTCAGAGGCCAGCGCTGCCCGGCCAGAATAAATCCGCGTCTTAAATGTCTGCAGGGTTTCTACCGGCAGAAAATGACTCGGTCATTTGCGCGATTTACATTAGGGTGATGCGGACGGGCTTTAGATACAGAAGAAGATACAGGTTGCTCCTAAGAGCGGATATCAGATTCAAATCACTATCGCTGGCGTTAGGTACAGACAATCTTCGGAATGCATGGGTATAGAGACAGCGTCCGCGTGATGCTGAACCCCAACAGCAGATATACACCATTTATCCGGAAAGACCTCGCTTCTCGCTCTCCGAGAAGAAAATGATCATCCGCCACAGCTTGCGGACCAGCACCTCGGCTTCTTCGTCGAGTGCCTAAGTAGCAGAGTTAGCATGATATCCAGACAGACCAGAAGAAACTCCAGTAGATTGCAGGTTAAGCTTACCTCCTCCAATTGCTCCACCAGCTCTTGGGGATGACCATGCTTGCGAACATGTTCTTCCACCACATCCACAAGCATCTGCTCCTGAACACCCAAGTACTCCACGATCTTCTTCTCGACGAACGGCTTGAGTTGCTCGCTGACCACCGTTTCGTCCACAAACTCCCACTTGACCTCCCAGCCCCAGAGTCCCTCCTTGTCCGTCGGGATCTCGGCGGCCAGTTGCCGGGCTGCTTGTGCCCGTTCCTCGTCGGAGAGACCAGCCGCCTCGGCGGCACTGTCGAACTTGATCGGGATGAGAGGGCGCCGGGCCGTGGCCTGAGGCTCTTCCTCGTCCTCCAGCAGGCCTTCCACCTCGGCCACCGTCCGACGGGATGTAGCAGCCTGGGCCTTTTGCGCGGCGGCTCCGAGAGAGAGCTTGAAGCGCTGAGGCTCCCGAGGGGCCTGGTTCCGAGTCTCCAGCTCTTCCGCCTGGCGCGCAAGGAAGTCGTCGGCCATACCGCGGGCCTGCTCCCGTTGCTGGACAGACCGGGCCCGTTCGCGCTCTTCCGCCGCACGATCTGCCTCGTCCATGCTGACCTCACGAGCTCGGAATCCTGCCCGACTACGTAGCCATGCACCCCGGTCGGCATAATAGTCCTCCACCTTACGCGCGGCCTCGTTATCATCGTTCCAGTCCCTGTACCGCTTGTCCATCTCCTCACGGACTTCCTGCATCTTAGCCTCCTCTTCCTTGTCTCTCTTCTTTTCGCGCTCCAGGGCAGCAGTTCGACTGCGTTCACGGTTCAGCCAGCGGCGTTCCTGATCAAGGAACTGCTTCTCAAGTTCCGCTTCCTTTTTCTCCTGACGGCGACGCTCCAACTCCTCATCACTAGCGTCTGTTTCTTCTTCCTCGCGATCAAAGTGAACAGTAGTAGCCCCGTTTAGAGCACCGCCATTGACAAAAGACACACCCTTTTGATAGTCCTTAGGAATTTGCACGCCAAAGCCCTTAGGGCCAGAAGGCGCCGTAGACACGCTGCGATCCCGAGGACCCAGGGGGACTCCATTGGCACCAGCCGCAGGGCCACTCGGAGCGGAAGGCGGGGGCGATGCCAGTCGGTTGAACCGCGTGCCAGCATTGCGTGCTCTCTCCATGGACTCGATCTCTTCCTCCCTCTTCAAACGCTCGATATCACGACGGTTGCTGCGCTCACGGAAGGCAGCGATCTCTTTGGCGACTGTCTCTCTCATCTCGGGAGGAATATCGGAAAGTTCGTCTTCCACTGTGATGGGAATGGTGACAACCTCCGCTCCAGTACCATCGGTCTGACCTTCTGAGTCCTTCATAGCCGTGTCTCCTTCGCGATCGATTGCCGAGACATCTTCCTTCTGAGTAGGGGAGGTAGGATGGCACAAGTCAGAGAGGACGTTGGCGAGGGTACTGCGTGCAGCATCTAACCGCGCCTGGCGCTCAGCAGGGTCCTGATCGCCTCTGGTGGCTTCGTACTGCTCCAGATAACTCAAGGAGCTTTCATCAACGACAACCTGCACATTATTAGCTCCGTAGTTCTCAAGTTTGAGCCTGACGTACCAGTAGTGTGCTCTTCTCCACCTCACGCTCTTCCTTGTCATCTCCCTCGGACGGTGTCTGTCTCTTCACAGGCACTTGCACGTCCTTTAGCACTTCCACCGCAGTCCCTAGACTTTCGGGGTCCTCGTACTCTGCGAAACCGAACTTGCAGGGCTTTTCGTCCGCATCCGTAGCGCGGATCCAGCGCCTGAGATTGCCCGCCGAACGGAGAATCTTCTCCACACCCTCGTCGCCACCAACGCCCTCCGTAATTCCACCAACAAAGAGAGTCCGCACAATCTCCTCGCGCGTAGGGGGCTGCAGTTGCATCATCGCATCCCGAACGTTCTGCCGCTGGGATTCCAGACTGGTCGAACCCAGACCTGCCCGTCTTCCCGGGGCCTCGCTACCACGTTCCTTGCTCGTATCTGGAGTGGCAGATTTCGGTCCGGACGTACCAAGGCGAATGACGGGGGCAGAGAAGTTGATGTTGGGCATGTTCGGAGGAGGTTGGAAGTTGGGAGGGAAGCCTGCCGGGCGACCAGGCTGTTGGGCGTTTGCAGGCTGCATCCCAGGGGGAGGAGTGGTTCCGGGGGCTACCATACCGGGCGGAGGAGCTACAAAGTCAGTAACAGATGATAGATGGGGTATTGAAGAAATGGGAGACTCACCCATGCCCGGGGGCGCACCAGGATAGGCGCCAAAGTCTGGAGGCCTGCCATAGAGACCAGGAGCTGTAAAAGTTAGAATACGCTCGTTAAGTTCGTAAGGACACGCAATGATGCTATCCAGTGAGGCGGGAGACGTACGCTGGTAAGGATTGTACATTGCGACGGAATCGCAGCTTCAATAGCGATTGATCGAAGGCGTCCCCAGGTACCGGAAAAATCTGAATAGTCGTGGAGTGAGAGAAAGGGGGATAATATCGAGGGTTCAATCAGTTCAGAGTGGAGATTCGCCCGTACAAGGGAGCGTAATCCTCGTCTGATCGGCGGGGAAGAGACGTTTGAGCAGATGAAGAAGATCGCGAGCTGCGGCGGAATCGCAGTTCGAGAAGAACCAGGTGGCCCGTGCGGACTTATCTTGGCAGCCCAGCAGTGCTTCCGCTCTCGCCTTATCCGTGTTGTTCTATCATCCAGCAATCATCATTGTAATCAAAATACTCTACTATCATATAAACAAATATTACCTGTTGATCTCTTCCGCTGAAGTGAACGCCAACCTGCGTTCGCATTTCCTGCGCGAGAGGTTCAACGTGCCAGGCCTCAGCACTTCATGAACTCACTTCTGCCAAAATATGTTAATGCCATTGCCTTTCAGAAACTGATGTTTCAGGTCTACATTATTATGATACTGGCTCTTTCCAATCACTGCCCTCAGGATGATCAACACATAGATTCGGCAGAGCCTCACTAACCAGTGTCGAAGACTCCCGCGCCAGTATCCTAGGGCAGGGGTGCTACTTACTATCTACAACTTAGTCAAGCAGCTACTCTGTGCCGCAATTACCAATGGGTCATAAGACGCTGCAGCAATTGTTAGTGAAGGAAGAGCTAGTTCTTTGGCAGACAGAGCCTCTTCAAGCATATGCAGCATCGAATAGTCAACTGTATATGAATAGCCCTGGGGATCACCAGCTTGGAATATGTTCAACTATGACCATTGAATACAATCTCTTATTGGGAGGATTCTACAGCAGTCCCATTAGTGACATTTCCCTGTTAACAGCCTTCCTCGGATCTAGACGGAATACTTGTCATTGGGTTGCCCTTTACCTATTGGAATCGGCTACATCCGAATTCCACTGGTCATTGAACATCAGAAGAACGTTGTCTATTCGCAGCGCCAACAATCAGGGAAGATGTGAACCATGATTACGATAAAGGCAATAGTCCATTGAATCCAGGGGTAAAACATAAGGGGTAGAATGGAGACATCGGTAAAGGCACAGCAGGACACAGTAAACGCAACCGGCTAAAAGGGAAAGTATGGAACGATCTCGACCGAAGCTCCCGAGCCTTCGATAGACGATCTGGAAGGCAGGACGTGGGGGTGACAATTGCACGGCGACCTTTTTCCGAGGGACTGACAGGAACATACCTCAGTAGCTAATACTATCTCTATTATTGGGGCGTGGTCCGCTGTCCTGATAACGCAGGATGGGACTGAGTGCCCGGTGTGACCATGAAACCGGCTATTGTGATTCATCCTGGGCAGAATGGCCAGGACTGTCTTAGTGGAGCCCGGTCAATCTGGATGATGAAGCTTCCCATGACGAAGTGGCCGGAGAAACAGACACGAAAGTCGCCGATAACTGCTGTGAGCGTGAAAGTGATGAATGACAAAAGCTTCCAATTGAGCGGGTATACGGATAACTTTCCAGTGGTGATCACCCAAAAGGTGTAGAAGTCTAGAATAAAGTGATGACAAACAGGATCAACGCAAGACAATGTTTAGCAACGGGAAACAAACGTTCAGCTGACCGGCAGAGGTTTCTGGCAAGGACAAATGGGAAAGGTGCCCACCGGGGGAATGAATCTGCGTCACTTTGCTGGTTGTGGTGGATGCCCCACGGCAGCCCCTCCTACGGACCCCAACACGCCGGTTGACGACATACCTTGTCTTGTTGCTGCTCCTCTCCCCTCCGCGACTCCCGCCTTCTAACTACTATTCTTCTTCCCCTTCAATTCTTCCCTACTGCCCCTCCTCCCTTCTCCCTGCCTTCTTCTTCTTCCTTCCTTCGAGTTTCATCTGTTTTTAAAGTAAAAGGTAAGCATCCGTCCTGTTCCAGCTCCATCCAAGCTTCGTCTGCATCAATCCCCCTCTGTTTGTGCCCCGCGCTAACACTTTCCCGTCGTCGGTCAAAGCTCTATAACCTCCATCACAATGCCCAGCTTCTCGCAGGCCACCGAGCTCTCTGCCTGGAAGGAGCTCCAGGAGCACCACAACTCCGTCGGACGTAACATCGTCCTCAAGGAGTGCTTCCAGAAGGACCCCCAGCGCTTCGAAAAGTTCAGCCGCACCTTTAACAACACCGTCGACAACTCCGAGGTCCTCTTCGACTTCTCCAAGAACTTCCTCACTGAGGAGACTCTGGCTCTGCTGGTCAAGCTGGCCAAGGAAGCCAATGTTGAGGAGCTCCGTGATGCCATGTTCAAGGGTGAACACATCAACTTCACCGAAGACCGTGCCGTCTACCACGCTGCCCTGCGCAATGTCTCCAACGAGCCCATGCAGGTCAACGGAAAGAGCGTCGTTGAGGATGTCAACGCCGTTCTCGAGCACATGAAGGAGTTCACTGAGCAGGTGCGCAGTGGTGAGTGGAAGGGTTACACTGGCAAGAAGATCGACACCGTCATCAACATCGGTATCGGTGGTTCCGACCTGTAAGTCGGCCAATTGAAGTGATGAAATGAAAAGCCGTTGCTAACATCACAACTAGTGGTCCTGTCATGGTGACCGAGGCTCTGAAGCCCTACGGTGCCCCCGACATGAAGCTGCACTTCGTCTCCAACATTGACGGCACCCACATCGCTGAGGCCCTCAAGAACTCCAACCCCGAGACCACACTCTTCCTGATCGCTTCCAAGACCTTCACCACCGCAGAGACCACCACCAACGCCAACACGGCGAAGAAGTGGTTCCTCGAGACTGCCAAGGAGGACTCTCACATTGCTAAGCACTTCGTGGCCCTGTCCACCAACGAGGAGGAGGTCACCAAGTTCGGCATTGACAAGAAGAACATGTTCGGTTTCGAGTCCTGGGTGGGTGGTCGCTACTCCGTCTGGAGCGCCATCGGTCTGTCCGTCGCTCTGTACATCGGCTACGACAACTTCCACCAGTTCTTGGCCGGTGCTCACGCCATGGACAAGCACTTCCGCGAGGCTCCTCTGGAGCAGAACATCCCCGTTCTCGGTGGTCTGCTGAGCGTGTGGTACAGCGACTTCTTCGGCGCCCAGACCCACCTGGTGGCCCCCTTCGACCAGTACCTGCACCGTTTCCCTGCCTACCTGCAGCAGCTCTCCATGGAGAGTAACGGCAAGGCCATCACCCGCACCGGCGAGTACGTCAAGTACACCACCGGCCCCATCCTCTTCGGTGAGCCCGCCACCAACGCCCAGCACAGCTTCTTCCAGCTGTTGCACCAGGGCACCAAGCTCATCCCCTCCGACTTCATCATGGCCGCCGAGTCGCACAACCCCGTCGAGGGCGGCAAGCACCAGCGCATGCTGGCCTCCAACTTCCTGGCCCAGTCCGAGGCCCTGATGGTCGGAAAGACCCCTGAGCAGGTTAAGGCCGAGGGTGCCCCTGAGAACCTGGTCTCTCACAAGACCTTCCTGGGCAACCGCCCGACGACCTCCATCCTGGCCCAGAAGATCACCCCCTCCACTCTGGGAGCTCTGATCACCTACTACGAGCACCTCACCTTCACCGAGGGTGCCATCTGGAACATCAACTCCTTCGACCAGTGGGGTGTGGAGCTGGGCAAGGTGCTTGCCAAGAAGATCCAGAAGGAGCTGGAGACCGCGGACGCTGGCTCGGACCACGATGCATCGACCAGCGGTCTGCTGCTTGCCTTCAAGAAGAAGGCCAACCTGGCGTAAATTTTGGATACGAAAAGGGATTGAATAAGCAAAAGGAGTACATAGTCATTTTGATGAAGCCACGAGTGTCATCCTTAATTATGAGTTAGCAATGAACTGTTGGACAGTGCAGTCTTGCAGATGAACTGTAGACAATTAAATCCATTAGACCTGAAAATATACCAAGGCATAACCGGTAGCATTGAATTCACGAGCCTCCATCGTAGCAAGTGCGACATGCAGTCCAAATAGACTCAAGTCGGTAAGCAAAAAAGGGTCCGTCTCCTTACCGCGGCTCCGACCACGCCGCTTCTCCTGACCATCAAAACCCGCCTTCTACCTCGCCAGCGCGCGAAATCCCCATTGCGCTGGCCGGCGAGAGCTCCGAATCAATTATTCATCTTCTCCTATTTATTCATAATGCCCGTTCCTGAAAGGGCATCTCTCCATCGGATCTATCACTATGGACTATTGAGTCTCCTCTTCCTCCACACATCCACCGCAGCGGGGAGAAGCAGCAGTGAGCAACGCGCAACAGCAAACCCCGGCTACAGTTATGGCCAAGCAGTGCCAGTAACATGTCTGAACCGGACGATGTACGCCCTCCCTGCCTTTATTTCCATTCATTAGTTCATCCAACGACGTACTAACATAATTGGCACCAGTGACTCCGGCGAACACGTACGTCACCCACAATAACCCCCAAGTCCAAACCCAAACCCAACACAACACAACTAACGTTCAAATATAGATAACCGACCCCCTGGGCAACCTCCAATACATCCCCTTCCCAACATGCAACGAGACCTCCCAACCGCTATCCCTCCACTACGGCATCGCCGAACAGACCCTAACATGCACAATCGCCTCCCTCCCCGATGAACTCTACCATTTACTAGAGTACTACGTCCACTCGGACGTGCCCATGACATGTCGCGTACCCACCGCGCCCCTTATCTCCGCCTCCCCGGACATCGACATCATCGATGATGGGGACTTCACCGGCGAACAAGCCTACACGCCCATCACCTTCGCCATCCAGGGCACATTGCAACTAAGCCATCTGCACATATGGACGGATATGAATGTCCTGGTGCATAACATGGCCAGTACGGAAAAGAAGAAGCGTAAGGATCCTGGGTATGTGGTCGCGGGCACGGCGTACAGTGTGCCCGAGTTTGATAATCGGGGGGCTAGGGAGCCGTGGACGGAGGGTCATGGGACGAAGGTTGTGAGGGGGGAGCCGTTGACGTTTCGGTTTAGTGTTAAGTGGGTGGAGGGGGGCAGGGGGATTGGGTGGCCTAGTGGTGGGGATGGGTATGAGGAGGAGGGGAGTTGTGAAGGGGGGTGGTTTTCGAAAGTGGTGTTCTTTGGATTCGCTGCGGTGGTTGGGGCTGTGTTGGCGGTTTATTGGGAGAGGGGTTATGGCAGGGGACGCGGGAGGGGGGAGGGGATTCTGGGGGTTACTGGGAGTGGTGCTGGGAGGAAGGGGTTTGGTGGGAATGGGGTTAGGATGAATGGGTATGGGGGTTATTCGCCTGCGACTGTTGCTGTGGGTGGTGGTGCTGGTGGTGGAGGAGGGGGAGGAGGATATGGTGGGTATGGGTATGGAGGGTATATGAGCGGGAAGAGGGATTGATGTGTATATTGACTGATTGACTGATTGAATGTATGATTGATGTGGATGATTATTGATAGATGGAGATACAAACAGATGCAGATATACTACCAGTATAGTATCTCATGTAGATTCAACACACATAGCAAGACAAAACAAGACACAACGAAAATACAACACTACAACAATATAGTACACAAAATAACCCTTTTACCCACTCCCCCCATCATACATATCCCTCTATACACACACACCCCCAATCATCCATCCCCCTCCGCAGGATTGAATAAACCTACCACCCCTGCCCCCGAATCTTCTGAATCCTCTTAACCGTCGCCTGAAACGAAAACTTGAACAACTTCCTCCACCTCTGCATCCTGAGCTGCTTCCTCACCATACCCTTCCGCACATGATACTTCTGCTTCATCAACGACTGCTTCATCTTATTCTGACCGATAACCGTGCTCAGCGACCTCAACGCCGCAGGCAAATCCATCCCGCGCTCCGGCTCAACCGTCACCTGTCTTCCCAGCGTCGGGCCCAGCTTCAGATCGATCTTGCGCAGGGATGTAGCCGTCCGCAGGCCGTCTGTCTCGGCGGAGAGACCTACCGCGCGCGAGAGGGAGAGGCTGTCGTTGAAGGCGCGGGTGGTGCTGCCGGGGGTAGCTGCCGCCGCTGCATTGCTGGTTGTGGGAGTGGTGGGGGTGTTGTTGAAGTTGAGCTTGTTGAGGATTTGGTCGAAGTCGGTGGGTTTTTGGGTTGGTGTGGAGGTTGAGGAGGGTTGTTGTGTTTGGCGGGTCGGAGGTTGTGTAGTTGTGGTGGTGTTGGTCTTGGTGTTGGATGGAGAAGAAGAGGAGGAGGATTCAGAAGAGAAGCGTAGGCCAATTCGTGCTGGGAGGAGCTGTTGCTGCTGCTGGATCTTGTAGAGGGTCGTGGTTGGCTTCGCCCGGAGGAGGCTGCGGGATAGGGCGCGCATGTCCATGGTGAGTGGTAGGTGGGATTCAATGAATCCTAGCCAATTGGTAGCTGGAGAGGTATATTTCCGAGAGTATCACCGTCCTGTCCTGGTTGAATGCTGTGGTGGAGGCGGACAGGCGTCGAGGGAATTATTGTTTGTTGGATATGGGATAAATCTCGCCCGTTGCGGGTTGCGGATCGGAAATTGCGGGCACGTGACTGCGTGGTTGATTCCGCCGGCTGCTCCGCTGGACATATACTATACTTACGTTGTACACTGCACTAGAATCAAATTATCGAGGGCTTTGTTTAGTCTGACTACGTGTAGTTCTGCAGAAGCAGAACATATCTTCCCTATTTCTCTCTCTCATAATTCCATCCTCTACCCCGAAAGGAAGGATCACACCAAAATGTCCTCCATAACCATCGCAACCCTCCCCCGCATCAGCCGCGACGCCCTCTCAGCCCTCCTCCTCTCGACTTCCACGCCTAGTAAACTGGCCATTATCGATGTGCGTGATTCTGGTGCGTATACCCACCTTGCTTCTTTACACTTCATCTCGATCGACTATACTAATAAATTGGTATAGACCACGTCGGCGGCCACATCATTTCCTCTACCTGGGTCCCCAGCTCCTCACTAGACTACCGCCTCCCCGAACTAATCCGCACCCTGGCGGACAAAGAAAAGGTGGTCTTCCACTGCGCGTTGAGCCAGCAGCGCGGGCCGTCTGCTGCGCTGCGGTATGCCCGCGAGCGCGAGCGCATCCTCGGCGAGGAGGAGAGTAAGAAGCAGGAGGTGTTTGTCCTCGAGGGTGGGTTCGTGCAGTGGCAGGAGAAGTATGGGCCTGATGAGAGGTTGACGCAGGCTTGGGTGGAGGATATTTGGAGGGAGTATTAGATTTTTATTCCAGTTATGGATAGGAGGTTGGGTTTGGAGGGATTGATTGGCTTGGTGGTGATACCCTTTTTACTTTATTCATTTATTTTCACTGGTTGGGTTGGGTTGGGTAGATGGGTGAGAGTGGGATAGATGCATGGTTGGCGCTTTAGAATAAGAGTCATATATGGTATTTTGTTCGTCGGTTGTTTACAAGTCTATGTTATATTATACATGGGCAGTATCGACACCTACATCACAAGTCCACCGCCGAATCCAATCGGTCGACGCTTGCCATCATTCTCGGGAACGATGGCCATCACCTTGTAGATCTTGCCCATACTACCACCACCCTTCTCAACCAGTCTCTTCCACCCTGTCTCCAGTGTCTTGCGCTTCTCTTCATCATCGACCTTCTTCAGAAGCTGCTGCATGCGCTCTTCGATGCCCATCGCCTGCAGGAAATCACCCTGCTCGACCGGTCCATGCACCTCCACGCCCTCACTAGCCTCGATCGCCGCCTCCGCCAACGCCGTGAAATCCACATCAGCGCTGACATCCACCTGTCCTGGCGACGACAGCGGCGGCACGTTCTTGTGCTCCTGGATACCCCGCAGCGAGTTGATCGGGATGGTATTGAGAGTGCCGTAGTCCATGATCAGGGCAGCACCGGAAGATGTGCGCTTCGCGGGGGCCGGCGCAGAAGCAGCAGCGCCCTTTGTAACCGTGCGGGGTGGTTCAGAGGCACCGCCGATGCGGCGCGCAAAGTCAGCTGCGTAGATACGACTCTCCGGGCTGACTTCGATGGTGGATCCCGGCTGGGATTTGAGGGCGCGGTAGCGCGGAGAGATCTCCGGGATGACTAGAGAGGATGGCGTCGAGGCTTTGGCGAGGGTGAGCTTGAACTCGGGCTCGCCTTCGACATTCTCCTCCACGGCTTTCGGGTTCAAGGTGACCATGAGCTCACGCCATTGGGGAGTGTTGGCTGGCTTCAAGGGCTGGTGTAGTTTTGCTGGGCCGGTGGGAGTCATGATCTCCTTCTGCTCAGGCTGGTTCTCTGGAGAGGGAGGGATGGATTCGAAGGCGTGGATGGGGAGGGCGTCGAAGAACTCGTGGGCGAATATGAAGGGGGTCTTTTCTTCCTCTGTAGAGTAATTCATCAGTGAGACGTCCACCCGCAAATATCAGTCATGCTTCCATACCATGCGGCAACAGTCGGATATCCTCCACCCACACGATCGGAACATCAAAGTACTTGCATGTACTCTTGTGTCCGATATCCGTCTCCTCCATAATTGCATCCCCGCACAGCAATTTCTTCTGCACTTCCCGCAGCGTAGCGCTAGCTTCCACCAGATATATCGCCTCTATACTCGACGAGAACATCTTGAAGTTGCGGAATGTCTACCTCCGTCCGTATCAGTAATTGCAAAACGTCGCAAGATCAGGACATCTGGACAACTCACACGCAACATGTCATCCATCAATGTGCCCTTCCCCGGTCCAACCTCCATCAATTGCACTCCGCTGCGTTTCCGACCCTGCGCCATCCATTCCGCGATTGTCCAGATCCCCACCAGTTCTCCGAAGACCTGCGATATCTCGGGAGAGGTGACGAAATCACCTTTTTTGCCGAATACTTCGCCGTGGCCTTCTGGTCGCGTTGTGTAGTATCCTCCTTCGGGGTTTGTGAGGACCTGGCGCATAAAGGCGGCGATGGGAACGGGTCCGGTTACCTGGTGGAGGGCTGGTTAGGTTGGCTCAATGACAATTGGATTGATGTCGTACTTTGATCGCATTGGCAAGGGTCTGCGCTAGCGGTGTCGACCATTTTCTTGTTTCAGAGGTAGATGTGGAGGATGCGGGTGTAGTTGAGGACCATCGTTGCGATTTGAGGCAGAGGGTCTGGTTGGGATGTTTTCTGAGGAGCTGCCTCACGGCACGCCTCGTTGCGTGGTTCATATCGATGGTTGTCGATTAAAGAGTAGCGAATCGACTCATATGTTTGATTGGTACGATATTGGTAGGGAAACCCTTATTTGAAGGGTGCAATAGCAACATCCAGCAAATAATCCAGATGAAGCTCTCCAACTTCTCCGCAAAACTTCCGCACACGTGATTGCGTTCCTTATCATATCAGCTGCCGATAGTCCGCTCCAGTCAGTTGTTTGATCTGTCTACGTCCGAACGGGATTCTTCCAGAAAAAATAAGTATTTCTTCATATCGTACAGGTCTTCATTCTAAGTAGCCAAGGCAATTGCAGAAACATGTAATCCGAAAAGAAGTAAACCCATCCTGCCTGTTCAGCAGAACAGCCTGTATCAAAGAACAGCGCATTTTCAGACTGGACCACTGATGGCTGCATTACCGCCGGCCCCGGTTTCGCTGATTCTGCTGAGGCGCATCGACCATCATCTCATCGCTATAGAGGCCTGTTTCTTGTGTATTCTGTGCTCCACCCCTTGCCTTCCGGCCACCCCGGTTTCTGCGATTGTTCCCCCTGGATGGGCCTTGGCCAGCCTGGTTCTGATCATTGAATCCCCACCGTCCGTCCTGGACAGCTGCATCGGCCAAGCGATGAGAACGGCGATCGCGGTCCGCTTGCTCGCGGAGGTCACTGAACGATTGGGAGTTCTGTACGACGGGCTGGGCATTGGAGCGCTCAAACAGATCGGGATTCGCAGGTTGCTTTAGGTGGAATGAGAGAATCCGACCGTCGGCCTAATCGATTAGAATATATCCTTGATAGTTGCGACGAGTCACTTACCCTCTGGTTGTGAAAGTTGGCAACGGCACCCTCTGCGGCCTGTCTCTCTGCAAATGTAATCTCCGCTGTGACAACAGGATGTTGCGAAGTGACCCAGCAGCGCAATATCGGGCCGGAAACAGGTTCCAGAGCTGATTGAATATCGGCCGCCGTAGTCCCTGGCGCGAAGTTGCTACCGACGACGACAAATGGCCCAGACCCTTTTCCTTTGATCGTCAACCCACCTCCATTTCGCACGTTAGCCTGGCCGCTAGCGGGATTGAGCGCAGAGAGGAGGCGGGTCTCATCAGGACGGCGCTTGTTCGATGGCCTTGCGTTCTGACGGGCACCCTGTCGCGCGGGCGCTGGGATTGGAGGAGTAGTTTTGGCCGGTAGAGTAGCCGATGCGGAGCGCTGAATTGGGCGATCCATCGAATTAGTTATGCGACAAGAATGAGCAAGCTTGCAGAGGTCCTGATCTCCTTACCTTCGCTACTCCGATCCGACTTGCCAGGCTGCCTGGCTTCACATTCTGCGTCTTCCCTGTCGGTTTCGTAGGCGGGTTGGTCGTTTTCTTCTTGCTCAGGAGCTTGTTTGCTAGTTCTTCGTTGCGTCTTCTCTTGCGATCTGAATCAAGCCTGTTAGTCTCCAGCGCTCCGCGTGGGTGAGTCGGGGAATGATGGTCATACCGGCTTGGATGATCGCATCGAAGGAAACGCTATCCTGGCTCGCGGCCATGGCGGCAGAGCTTTAGGGACTGAAAGTGAGGGTTGAATGATAATGAGACTAGAATCAAGGTAGTGTATGGAATCAATTGAGCTTCCAGTCTAACTTATTTACGAATGATGAGAATCTGTCGGGTGCTTGAACTGGTGGACAGCAGGAGGAGCTGACAGAACGGAAGGAATTCGAGCTCCGCCATTAGCTCCGCTCCCGTCATCTCGCCCGCCGCAGACTTTCTGTATGCATCTTGACTTGAATAAGCATGAAACTGGCAGTATAGTGAATTACGTATCAAGACCCGCCTCTAGTGTCTTTTAGAGTGAATTCTCCAGTGACTGAAAAAGAGCCTACCCTTCGGCCATCTATTAAAATGCTAGAATCCTCAGCCTGGCAACTTGAACACGCATCACTCATTAGCTTCACTCAGATAGCACAACTGCGAGGGGACAAATTGAGACGTCCCTAACAATAAGCTCAGCATAGCAGTGCTTTCAGAGCGCTTGCTGCTTTTACAGTCTACAACTATGATTTTTCCTAACCATGGACCTTGCAACCCATTAACATCGACTGCATAGTGCCTGATCTGTGCCGGGTCTCAGAGCTCACATACTCCTGTCTTACCCACAATACTGCTAAGCAAGTCTGGATGATGGCGCAACCAGCTTCAAAGACTGCGAGAATTGGCGACTTGTACGATGACACTACAGACTTCGGAGACTTTGTGAGCACATCAGATGAAGAAATCGACGTGGAAGAATATGCCGAGCCTTGGGGAAAGTATGATCCCGAAACACAATACGCTTATTATCCAATCTCTCTTGGAGAAATTCTCAACGAAAGATACCTGATTGAGCACAAACTCGGTGCTGGTGGTTTCTCTACTGTCTGGATGGCTTTTGACCTCCAGGAAACCAAAGATGTCGCTGTCAAAGTCTTTCGTAAGGGCGACTTCGGAGACATCGAGCTACGCATACAAGATGAGATCGTTCGGAGCGTGCAGGACAGATCCCACCTTGTGACATATACAGATACTTTTATTCTAAAGGGAAGCGATGGTCACCATGGGGTTATAGTGCTTCCTTTAATGGGGCCGTGTCTTGACCGTTATACAGTGACGAACTTAGCTATAAATACTCGCATGTCAGCTGCGAAGCAATTGTTAAAGGCATTGGAAGCTCTGCACAACGCTGGAATCGTACACCGCGGTAAGTTACTCTACACATTTTATATCATCGCCATCTGATGAATCTTCGTCAAGATCTGAGCGAGAGAAACTGCCTGTGGGGGATGGCGCCTCTTCACAATCTTAGCAGGACTGCGAAATATGAACTACTCACCCGGCCATTGAAGGAAACTATCCAAGACGTCGGGCTCTGGAAGCCTGGAGAACTAATGCGGCCCATACAGGTCCCTGAAGCTCTGCACACAGAAGATTTCTATCTCGCTGACTTCAGTCTGGCCATGAAGGTCGGCGACCCCGTGGCTCAACCCGGCGATCCACCTCTGTGTTTCTGCTCCCCGGAGCGTCTCCATGGAGAACCTCCAAGCTTTGCCTGCGACATGTGGAGCTATATGGTCAACTTTGTTGAACTTTACCAAGGGGGACGACCATTCCATGATGGGTACATAGGCGGAGTATTGACGACTATTACCGCCCGTCTGGGCCCGCTACCAGAGCAACGGAAAGGATCTTACATATATGACGACTGCCTGCCTGGATTCCTGGTACGACCAGAATCGAACGCCCGATACGAATAAAACCCTCGCATCAGAGCTTGCGCGCTATCGACCCGATGCCGATCCGGCAGGGCGAGAACTTGTTCTCTCCATCATGCAGAAGGCATTCCTATACTCGCCCGAGAAGCGTCTGACTGCGACGCAGCTTCTGGCCGATCCTTCATTCATAGCTCTCATGGCTCGGTATGGTTGTTGATCATGTGATATGGAGTTGTGGCCTGATAGACTCTGCTCTTTATTCTCGCGTCTCAGGCCTAGCATACTGGGGATCTGACATCAAGGGGATGGCGGTAAGCTTTGGCTTCTGCATGTACCAAAAACAAGCCTTATCTTCTGGGGTAAACTTAGCGCAGGAAAATGGTAGGGAGAAGATGTGACATGAACGAAGGCTAGTGTGCCAGTAGCACAGCTCCCATGATGTTACTATTGATTGTTTAGTAACTGTCAGCTATCAGAATTAAAAACCTTAGTCTAGTTTATAGTACAACCCAAACAAGAAGCTTGATTCGCCAGCACCACCTGAAGCCTCAGACAGTCTGCAATATTATCTATTTAAGCTTAACTCTGATACAAGAGAAGCAACCATTACGAAACAGAAATAGTAAGGATTTGTTTGAGGGGCCAATCAAAGTATATCCCCGACACTTTGTTTGTACATTCACAGCCGAGATACTTCAGGAAACCGCCATGCAGGTAATACAGGCAGAGAAGCAGCCACTCAATTCAATGCCTGCCTTGTCCAACATTGCAAATGCACCCGGCATGACCCGTCTCGTATGTACTTTGGCATCGCCTGCTGCTGGCTATTTACCCACTGGGGACCCCACTGCCCAGATCACTCCCCCGCAAAGTATCTTTCTGTACAACTTCTGTTCTGAGCTTCTGATTCACTGAGTCAATATCAGACACTAGAATAGCACAGCCATGAAGCCTGAGGGTTCAAACAGTGGCCGAAGCAGACGTCGTCAGTCGTTGTCGTTTTCATCTCTTCGTCCGTCCATGAGCCGGAATAGGTAGGCGAACTATATGATCGTGTGAATTCTGTAAGCTGACAGATAGCATGAAGAACTAGAAGACCATCAACACCTCCTCCCACCACTTGCGAAGAAAGCGCCCACTACCCCGTCTTTGATCCGCAAAACCCGCGGCACAACCCTTCGCTTGCATCTACATCATGGCAGCAGTGGATGCAAAGCCTGCCGAAGAAGTCCATGGGGAAAATGCACTCCTTGTCCTTTCGACCTAGGTTTCGCAGACGTCCCATTCCTCGTCCAAGCCATAACGATGATATACCTAGCCTTTGGTCGTCCACGGATTCAGCCAAGGGCTCTTCAGACCAGCAGGGCACGCTCTACTCGTCGACTGTGTCAGAGGCTAGCACAGAGGAAGATGTTGAGTTCGGTACTGACCTACAGCGCATCAGCTGCAACTACCCGCCGGATGGCAACATGGACAGGTATTTACGGAGCCTGCCGGGACCATTTGTATGGGAAGATGGTACCGTTTCCTCAGAGTCAACCGTTGTGCCTCATCGGGAGACTGACGAGTTCCTTACTTTGACCTTCTCAAACGCTCGATCAACGTCGAGCAATAGAGATAGGGGAACGGAGTCTCATAATGTGGCGTCTACAGATGCTATCGGAGGAGACAATCCTCAGCCTATGATTCCAAGCTCACCCTCCCGCAATCCTAGCGAGTCGTACTTTTCGCAAGCAGCAGGCAGCGAGACCGAGGGTCTGTGCATCGCAGTTCCTGTTCCTTCCAACAGTGGCGCTTCTGAGCCACAGTTGCCGTCTGGAACAGGCGATAGTGACAGGGATGGTGCGGCCAGCGCGAGCAGACCCAGCAATCTTTCAGTGCCAATCATCGACACAGGCAGCCCCAGACCCGTTGGCACGGGCGTCAACATGGCAGCCTACGTCTCCAACTCACAAGTCGTAGATGCTGAGTTGGCTATAGAGTCTTTGGAGCTGTGCCAAAGGCTAGAGTTGGGTGAAAGTCACGATGGAGAACAGGACGTGATATACGAAGCTTGCGAGAATGCTAGACATTCAGCCAGTCACTCACCAGGGGCAGTGGATTCGACCAACAGCCGCTCCCCGGCAGCGCCATCAGCTGAAATTCCCGAGTCGTCGAATCATGGTGGTGAAATACCTCGCATTACGATTGATATGCGCGTTACTTCTGGACAGGTGCAGGAAGGCGCCGGTAATCGCATTGTCCGCTGCCTTGATTCGACAGAAAATATGCCCTTAATCCCGGCTAGAGCAGAGGATCGTCTGAGTGAACATAGTACCGACGCGTCGGTCTTGCGCAGCCAATCGTCGCAGGACGATCTGGCGTCGCTGCTAGCATTGCGAGACGAGTACTTCTTAGTGGACAAATCCAACGACCTCCGTCCGGATAGGGGGAACAACGCCACCAAAGCGGAGCGCAGCTTCAGCGGTGATGGCTGCTTGTACAGTGGGCCAGGGCTCGACCGCAACTCGTCGAACAGAGTGCATGATATCCCCGAGATCATTGGTCCGCGCACGCCCGTCCAGGTACGTGGCACACGGCCGTTCCGACGCGAGTATAACACCAGCGATTCAGACGAGTACCTTATGACATACCCGGCTATCGACAGACACTACTTTTCGTGAGTCCATGCTGACGTGAGTGATGCCGATACTGCCCTCATTTCACATTACATGTTACCTAACCTGTGACGTTCCTTATCACACCTGGCTTGTTCAGTTTGGAAGTGTATTTTAGTGATACCTCCAGGTATTTTGGATATCGAGACATCTCGCTCCAAAACCTGAATCACACGAGGTTCTATATGCACATTATAAGACATTAAACCAGGCTCCATACTAGCCCAGCCGTAGCGTAAACCCAGCCCCCTGTTCCCCCGTCTCCCCACCACCTTGCCCACCAAAAACACTCGCAAAGTCCAGCTTCGGAGCCTCCTGCCCCCGCTTCGGCGCCTCGGGAGTCTCCCTCCGTCTGCGCTTCTCCATACCCGCCTTGGACGGAAACGTCGGGAACATCTCCTTCGGCTTCGGCCGAGGATCCTCCTTGAAATAGCGATGCGCCAGACACTCCTTCGTCGACATCCGCACCCCGGGATTCAACGCCAACAACGACGAAAGCAGATGCAGCCCGGCGTTCGTCAAAAATGGGAACTTGGTCCGAGGCAGTAGAGGCGGGTTTCCTCCCGCCGTAGTAGTAGATGCAGTAGGCGGTAGTCGCAGTGACTTGGCGTTCGGTAGTGTTCTGAACTCAGGCCAGATCTGGGGTGTGGGCGGGCCGGTGAGGGCGAATATCTACACCACATTATTAATTAGTCAACATGACCCTTCACAGAGTGATGGTTTGGGAAGAGGATTGGAGGGGGGCGGAGGGGTTAGGCTCACCTTCGAAACCTGCTCGACCTCATTCTTCCCTTGCAACAGCGGTTCCTTCGTCAATAGTTCTCCCATGATACACCCCACACTCCACATATCGATCTCGGTGCCGTATTTCTCTGCTCCGAGGAGGAGTTCCGGGGCCCGGTACCAGAGGGTTACGACGAGCTGGGTGAGTTTCGGGGGCGGATCGCCGTAGTAGCGGGCCATGCCGAAGTCGGCAATTTTGAGCTCGCCGCGGTTGTTGAGGAGGAGGTTGGAGGTTTTGAGATCGCGGTGCATGATCCATTGGTCGTGGAGGAAGTTGAGGCCCGAGAGGAGTTGGAGGAGGAGGGTTTTGATTTCACTGGGGAGGAAGGGTTCGGGCATTTCGTCGAGTAGGGTTTTGAGGTCGTGCTCGTGGAAGTCCATTACTAGGTAGATTCTGTGGATTTGGTTAGGGTTGCATGAAGGGAAGGACGAAGGGTGGGGAGGTATACTCGTCTAGTTTTGTGCCTGTTACTACTTCTCGTAGGTAGACTATGTTTTGGTGTCGGGCTTCGAGGAGGGTTTGGATCTCGCGGAGCCCTGTTACTGGGAAGCCGTCTGGGGAGTTGTCCATTTTGAGTTTCTTCAGAGCTACTACTTCGCCCGTGGTTATGTCTTTGGCGCGGCTGACGAAGCCGTAGGAGCCTTCTTCGATGTGGTTGAGGCGTTCGAAGTTGGTGACGTTTCGACAGGGTCCCCATTCTTGGGTTGGGAAGGTGAGGATGTTGGGTTCATTGTTTGTCGTGGTGTTGGATGTTGTTTGTTGTTGGTCTGGGATGTGGTCGTTTGAGAGTCGGCGACGCTTGGTGGGTGGTGCGCTGCTGTCTGTATCAGCTTGTTGGGCTTGGAGCTTGGCTTGCTCGTCCAGCTGGCGCTGTTTCTCGGCTTTGGCGCGTCGCTTTTCTTCCTTTTCGCGCTTGCGCTGGGCCAGGATGGCTTCCGTTTCGGGGTCGTCGTCGGTGGCCCATCTGGATTTGGAGGACATGCTGCGATGGCCTGGATTGGCGTGGAGCGAATGACAATGGATGGATGGGATTGTGGAGAGAGTGCCGGATGCAAAGCAGCAGCTGTAGACAAGCTGGACGCGGACGGAATTGCGGCGAGAAAGTGATGCTTGATTGGTCGGATGACGCTATCGGCGAGAGCAAAGTGACTAAGCCCGATTGGGTTGATTTCAAAGCGTCCCCGCCTCGTCCCGCATCAACTACATTCGAGGGGCATTCCATGAGAATCCACAGTTTCTTTTTCCCTCTTTCTTCTACGGTGACACTCACATGCGCATTGGTGTTGTAGTACTTTCTATCCAGACAAGATGATTGAACCGTTTCAGGTGGGCTCTTGCCAGGGTTGACGATGCATCTCGTGAGGGGAATGCCTAACTAATCGCTTAGACTACCTTTGCGGTCCCGATGACCTGCGAGGGCTGCGTCAAGGATGTTTCCGCATCGCTGAAGAAGTTGGAGGGTAGGCGCATCCGCATTGCAACCCTGTGCGCGAGCTGACCGGTCAGGCATCAACAAGGTCGAGGCAAACCTTAAGGACCAGCTAGTCTTCATCGAGGGGACGGCACCACCCAGCTCGATTGTCTCCGCTATCCAAGCTACGGGACGGGATGCCATTCTACGAGGCAGTGGCACCTCCAACAGTATGTCTATCACCTGCCTACTCCAGGCAGTACACCGAGACTGATGGCACCATTGCAGGTTCCGCGGTGTGTATCTTGGAAACCCACTCGAATAGCGTCTCCAACAAGATTCGTGGTCTGGCGCGCATGGTCCAGGTCTCATCCAACATGACCCTGGTCGACCTGACGATCAACGGCCTTACTCCCGGCAAGTATTATGCCACGGTACGCGACACAGGGGATATCTCGCAGGGTGCTGGATCCACCGGCGGCATTTGGGAGGCCGTCAAGGCTAAAGTGCTGGGCTCGGAGCCAGTCAAGGAACCCCGCGGCATTTTTGGATCGGTTGAGGTGAACGACAAGGGCCGGGGCAATGTATTTTTGGATCGCCCGGTAGCGGTGTGGGAGATGATTGGGCGCAGTATGGTAGTGTCGAAGAGCCAGGAGGGGCCCTTTCGACAGGATGACCCTGACACTCTAGTGGGAGTGATCGCTCGAAGCGCGGGGGTGTGGGATAATGACAAGATGGTGTGTTCCTGCTCCGGTAAGAATGTGTGGCAGGAGCGGCAGGAGCAGGTGGCCCAGGGAATGGCCTAAAGGGGAAGAAGAGAGAGGAGATGAGGATGTGGTTGGAGGAAGCTAGACTGGCGGGTGTGTCTATGTATAGCAAGCAGTCCGGTCAGTGGTTAGAGTGTGCATAGTACTAGGGATAGGATACCCACGATCGATGATCGATCAGCCCTGAGATAAGGAATACGAGCAAGCATGAGTGACGATATTCTAGCGCATTGCCGAACTTTTAGATAGAAACGCGTGGGCGAGGGGTTTCCAGAAATAGAGACCGGACCAGGGTACCCATTGCATCACCGGTAGTTGATGTTTGTGGTGGTTGGTGGTAGTGATGGTGGATGGGGATAGAGATGGACGAGGGATCCAATGGTAGACACCCCAGACTCAGGTGACCGACGAGTATGCAGGAGAGCTGCACGACAGAGCGACTAGTCGGGGGACTACGGTGGCTCGCAGCTAAAGATAGGTCAGCCAGCAGCGTCTACAGGACTAGTCGTAGTCTAGTCACAACGGTCGTCGAGGGGTTGATGAAGGCGGGGGGAGAGATATCAAATGGGATGGTTAGTTAGTTGTTTAGTGGATAAGTAGTGATTAATGCTGGTGATTATTGCACCAACCGCGAGGGACCATCTGCGAGGGTCGGAGAGGGACCCCAGGCAGGAAATCGGTACCGAAGGGGAGTTCGGCCATTTCCTGCAAGCGCCGTGGCGGGGACACCTAAAAGTTAATCATCCCCTGAGAGTGGAAAAAGAAGGATTGGGACAACGTGATGCGGATTTTGAAGGAGACTGTTGTGTGATGGATTCTGATTTGTCCTGGTTATTTTCTTTTCCCTCCTGTCCCGGAGGTCCTCTCATTGTATGTATCATACTATGTCTAGTAGGGTGATTGATTGATTGATTGATTGATTGATTGGATTCTTCAGTGACATCGGAGATTGCCCACATTCCCCACTCGGCATGGGTTGCGGAACGGGCCATTGACCCATTCCAGCCCAACATCCAGTCTTCATCTATCCATGGCTGATGGCAAATATAGTAGTAAGGAGATAGTGAGGTAGTATTGAGTAATCTGGTGTAAATTAAATGGTATTGAGTTTTAATTGTATCTTGAAAGAGAGAGTGTATGTACGTACGTATCTGAGTACTGACTGTTAAGGTACGGGCGTCAACTGGAAGAGAACCCCGACCAGCAGCCAATCAAGGGGGAAGAGATGGATCTTGGCTGCACTGTGATGAAGTGCCAACCCCCTGCAGGAGCCAATGATCATCGCGCACACCGGATTGGCACCCTAAGCACTGACCGGAGGTGGCTTGCTATCAGCCATTCATCCGCCAGTGTCCCCCTCGGGCGTTACGAACGGGGCAGCTGTGACAGTTCCTGTTTCTTTTCATCACCACTCATTCACTCAGTAGATACGCTGTAAGAGACTAAGAGTATTCCTCTTGGCTACACCGACTGACCAGACAAGCTTATACTTCTCTCCCTTTTTCTTCCTCCGTATCCATGCCCGATGGTATGCCTAAGTGTCATCAATCTACTGCTGTTCACCCCTCCCTGGTCTTCTCCATCTTGACCGGCATGACGGTCACCTTTTACACCTACTACTCTTACTGCTGCTACTGCTGCTGCTGCTAAACTAACTAGCTCCCCTGTCGGCTGCATCGTCTCTGCACGCTAATCCCACCCCCTTCCTTGTTTCTTCCTTTTTGGCATTTACATGTGGATTTGACTTCTTCCATCGCGATCCGTACCTCTTTCTCTCCCGTCCCGCTGGAATTCAATTATCTCAGGGCGCACACCACAACCCACATTCCATAATCCACAACCCTATCTGCAAACTCAAGAACAGACCCGTTTTTACGAATCTCTGTCAATCCTTCCCTCGAATCACCTCACATTGCCCGTGCTCCCCTCATCCCATCACTCATCACATCCAGCCAACGGCCCTCCTTGCGTCTTGGCTGGTCTCCGGTCCCTCTTAGCGGCTGGGTCGCTGGATCCGTGATCTAATTATATATCCGATCCAACTCTCGGCTCTCGACGCTTGGATAGTGCGCATGGTCTATCACTCCTTCACGGTGGTTATCGCTCTCTCGACTAGCAGCCACACCGACTGCCGCGTGCCGACCCCAACCGGCTTACCCTCGATTGGATCCCCTTTACGGCATCGTCCCAGTGGACTCGCTGCCCCTCGTCACATCCCTGCTCCAGCGTGGCCAGGACCCAGCCATTGCGTCTTGGCCATAGCCAGTCGCATACATATACACTCGCTAGTTGCTGCGGCGTCTCGCCTCGCTCAAGTCAACTAGGCCAGTGGCCGTGCTACGGACAACTTGACCATGTCCTTGAAGCAGGTACTTATCCCAGCCTTAGGGTTTCGGATGATGCTAATGTGATTAGGAAATCGAAACCTGGGTACAGGCCCTTGACCACTACGATAATCAGGAATATGATGAAGCTCTTCGGGTCTTTGGTGCGATTGCAGAGACTTCTAAGATTCTCTTCAACTGCGGGGTCATCTATGCTACGTTAGGAGAACATGAAAGAGCGGTATGTTACCTGATTATTTCTCTGGTCATTACTGACGAGAGCAGGTTGAGTGCTACCAGCGGGCTGTCGGCCTGGACCAGTATTTAGCTATTGCCTACTTCCAAGAGGGAGTGTCCAACTTTCTTCTGGGGGACTTTGAGGAGGCATTGGCTAATTTCAATGATACGCTGCTCTACCTCCGGGGTAACACCTCCATCGACTATGAGCAGTTGGGCTTGAAGTTCCGGCTCTTCTCCTGTGAAGTGTTGTTCAATCGGGGCCTGTGCTATATCTACCTGCAGCAAATGGGACCTGGCATGCAAGATCTACAATATGCATCAAAAGAGAAAGTCACGCCCGACCACGACGTGATCGACGATGCTATTCGTGAGCAAGCGGCGGTAGGTCAGCTTCCTCTTGTGAGAGTGATGATACTGACGGAACAGGGCTACACGGTCTTTTCGATCCCGGTGGGAGTGGTGTACCGGCCCAACGAGGCCAAGGTCAAGAACCTCAAGGCAAAAGACTATCTGGGGAAGTCCCGGCTGATTGCCGCATCTGAGCGCAGCAGCATGCCGTCCGCAGCCAGCGAGGACCTCAAGCGGACCATGTCCATGCTGGACCACCGAAAGCCAGAGACGCTGCCGTTTGCCACGTCGCACCTGGTGCATAAAAACCTGCAGAGTCGGAGCCGTCAGCAATCGGAGCCGCCTCTGAACCGTAATCTCTTCCCTCCTACTCCCCCGCCGGACGCAGACAAGGCGAGTACCAACAGCTCCACAGGTAGTCTCGCGATGAACAGTCGACCGGGGTCCATCCGGGCAGCGCGGCCGCCCCGGCTCGACCTGACGGCGGGCCACAGTACAGAAACGCTGGTCGAAAAGCCGCGGATCGGCACGACGCGCACGGCGTCCGAGTCGCGGGCAGGTCCGGGTCGACCGGGGCCGGGGCCGGGGTCAGGGCCACGAGGGCCGGGCGAGTCCCATGGCCATCGACGAGGCATGAGTGACACGGGCTTTGCCCCTACGGTGAGCTCGGAGGAGTCGTATACGGGCACTCGATCGATGCCAGCGGGCGCCACCTGGCGCCGTCAACAAGAGCGGTATATCGACGAGCAAGAAGAGTATGCCAGTGATGCATACGAGGACAACGGACCGGACGGTGAGTTTGAGATCATGGGAACGCGGCCGCAGGCGTCTCCGAACCGGGGGTCGCGGCGGGGGACGTCACGACGGCCGGAGGTGCGCAAGTTCCGAGTGAAGGCGCACTCGCGAGAAGATACACGGTACATCATGATGGAGCCGACAATTGCGTTTAGGGAGTTTGAGAGTCGGATTCGGGACAAATTCGGATTCCGCACATTACTGCGAATCCGCATGCAAGACGACGGGGACATGATTACGATGGTGGACCAGGAGGATCTGGACTTGTTGATGGCGGGGTCGCGCGAGGTGGCACGACGAGAGGGGAGCGAGATGGGGAAGATGGAGGTAAACTCCCAGTTAATTGCAAAGAGAGAAGGGATCGTGCTAACTATGACAGATATGGGTTGAGGAGCGAGGCGTGATTTAGGATTGCATTAGCGTATACCCTGGAGTTTGGTTGATATGGTATGGTTGTATGGCTGTATGGCTGTATGGCTGTATGGTTGTATGGCTGGTATGGATGATATGAATTATGACAATGCATAAACACGTAAGCATACATCACGTGATGATTACCTCTACGTAGCTATGTAGATACAAGCCAGCTCGCACCAACAGACCACATACCAGATCAAGAGTAAAACAACACAGCACAATGACCGATCTCACCCCCACATTCACCCAGCTGGTGCACAGCAAATCGCCGACCTCGAAACTCTCCACAGGGTACATGACGACCGAAATCGCCGACGAATTTCTCAAAGAAGCCTACCGAATTGTATACCATCCCATCCTCCCAGTATTCCATTATCCATCCACCACATACTAATCCCTACGAAATGGAATAGAACTCCCACATAACATCCCTACTATCCTACCTCCAAACCATCCGCCCATCCTACCTCTCACTAACCAACACAAAACCACCCACCACCACCACCACTCAACCCAAACAGAACAAACAACCCGAAATACTCGACGACTCCGCCCGCGACACCATAACCACCACCACCTCGACCCTCCTCTCCAACCTCTCCACATCAATCACCACCCTCAGCGCGGCAGAGAATCTCCGCCAGGAGACGGTCTCGCGGAGCATAGCACAGAGATTCGGGAAGGGGTTTCTGGCGAAGTGGGCGGGGGGAGCTACACTCACTTCCTCCCCTGGGGGTGAAAATGAGGGAAAGGATAAAGAACAGGTCATTAAGGAAGAGAAGGAAAAGTTGTTAAAGGGGGTGAGGGAAAGCGTGCTATTCTATCTTAATGCGAAGCTTGGGATGGTGGTTAATGAGCAGAGGGATATGGTGGAGAAGAGGATTGAGAGGGTGAGGGAGAGGGAGAGGAGTGTGCTTTATAAGAATACTTCGCCTGGGGGTAATGGGGGTGGATGGGGGAGGGTGGATGGGGAGTGGAGGGGGGATACTGGTGTTGGTACTGGGGGTGTGGTGAAGATGGATGAGGAGGAGGTCAAAGAAATCGAGAAACAGTTGACACCGCAGCAATTGCAACTGTTTGAGGAGGAGAATGATTCCCTGGTGAGGTATTTTGAGGATGTGGTGGGGAAGGTTCAGTATGTTTTTTTCTATGCCATCCATTCTCTCTTGTCTATTGATTTATCTATGTTGGGATATGGCTAATTCTGGTTGGGGTGTAGGAACGCAGAAAAATCACTCCTCGAGATCTCCTCTCTCCAGCAAACTCTCGTGTCGCATTTATCAACCCAAGAGGAATATATCTCGCAGCTGGTGACGGATGCGAGTAATACCGAGGCGAATATCGGGCAGGGAAATAAGGAGTTGAAGCGGGCGACGGAGCGACGGAGTACGGCGCAGGCGGTGTTTTGGGGGACAGTGGGGTTGTGTACGTGGTTGGTTGTTTGGGATTTGGTTTTTTAGATTCATTATTACTTTATTTTTCAGGTTGTGTTGTTTATATTTTGTATTGGGGTTGTCTACCAGTCTAGCTGTACCTTACATATATCCAGTCCATATTCATCATGTCCTACCTGTGGTATCTTATGAAGTCTCCCGCACTACGCTGTCCACTGCTTCGGCAAAGTAGTCCAGGTTATGTGTGTTTAGGCCGGCCATGGAGATACGGCCGTTCTTGGTCTGTGTCCGTATTAGTATATACCCATATATTGTATAGGAAGAAGGTAGGAAAGGGAGGGGAGGTACCATATAGACATGCCACTTCTCCTTCAACACCTTCACTTGCGTCTCAGTCAACCCCGTGAAACTGAACATGCCGATCTGATCCGTAATGTGGTTCCATGTGCCCGGCGTGCCCTTCTTCTCCAAGCGCTCCCTCAATCCCTTGCGCATCTCCGCAATGCGACCACTCATCGTCTTCAGATCCTCCTCCCATTCCTGGAACAGACCCTCATCGTTCAACACCCGGCTAGCAATGCGTGCACCGTACGCCGGCGGGTTACTGATCTCACTGCGCTGCAGGATTGCCAGCTGCGACGCGATATGCGCATTCGCCTGGGTGGCTTCCGCACCCGGGGCAGAGACGAAATGGAACGCACCCGTGCGCTGACCATACAGACCAAAGTTCTTGGCGAAGGACTGCGCGACGCACAGCTCGAAGCCCTGCTCGACGAAGTAGCGCACGGCCCAGGAGTCGCGGGCGAGGTCACCCGAGGCGAAACCCTGGTAGGCGCAGTCGAAGAAGGGGAAGTGGTTGCGCTCGCGCATGACGACGGCGACCTCCTTCCATTGGTCTTGGGTCAGGTCGACGCCGGTGGGGTTGTGGGCGCAGACGTGCAGGAGGATGATGGAGCCGGTAGGAGCGTCGCGCAGGGCGGAGAGCATGCCGGAGAAGTTGAGACCCTTGGTTTGGGGGTCAAAGTAGGGGTAGTTGGCGAGGGAGAGGTTGACGTTGGTGAAGATTTGGTTGTGGTTGGCCCAGGTTGGGTTGGAGAGGTAGACGGTGGGCTTAGGGTTGGAGGGGTGGAACTTGGAGAGAAAGAGAGCGCCCAGGTGCACGGCACCGGTGCCGGAGATGGTTTGGAAAGTGCATACCTAGGGGATGTTAGATGGATATAATCGCAGAAGGGATGGGGGCAGGCTTACGCGGTTCTCGCGAATGGCAGGGCTGTCGGCGCCAATCATCAACTTCTGGGCGGCGGTGGTGTAGTCGGCGAGACCTTTGATGGGGAGGTATTCGTGATTGAGGGCGGGGTCATTGCGAACGAGCTCGTCGGCCTGTCGGAGTTGGTTAGTTGAGATGCTGCGGGGATGGAGGGAGATAATGATGTGCAGGTGGGGAATTGAGGGGCAGCGAAAGTACCTTCTTGACGACGGGCAGAATCCAGGGTTTGGCATTGTCGTCGCGGTATGCGCCAATGACTAGATCGACCTTCTTGTCGGAGGAATCCTGGCGAAAAGCCTGGGCCAGACCGAAGAGAGCATCTTCTGGCGCGGCGGGCACGACGGCGGTGGAAAAGACGGAGGGGGTGGTAGAGCCCATGATGTGGGAGGAGAGAGAAGCAAGACGGGAACGGGCGGTAGAAGTAGAGGTAGCAATGGAGGAAGAGGATGGAGAGGATGAAGAAGAATTGAGGGAGAAAGAAGAAGATGGAGAAGAGGAGGAAAGGGGCGACATGATGTATTGTCAGGACGAGAAGAGGTCACACCACCTGATTCCCTCAATCACTGCTGCTTGCGTTCACCGGCGCCAATAAAGTGAACTTGACCGAAACAGATAAATCCCGATGGATACACCGGAGCTGGGCAGATGCAGGACAAGGGAAAAAGAAAAGGACGGGACGGCGTAGAAATGGACACGACCGGGGATAGGTTCGGAGGAGGGAGTACGGGGTACATATATAGTCTGAGAAAGTGATTGATCTTGAGACCGAGACAAAAAGTTGAGAGTTGGAGAATGAGCCGAGGATGTGGCAGAGTTGCTGGCCCGATGAGTTGAGCAGATGATGATAATGATGACGCATTCACATGATTGCAGAATAAATAATCAGATATTTGAAGCATTTATCTCAATCTCTATCTGTATACTATCTATCTATTTTGTCTATCATTGAAGATACATTCCAGCTACTATACAATCATCGTCAATTAGCAAGGATTAGATGTTTGGCGGACAGAATTGCCCGAGCTGGCCTGACATCATCATATGACAGATCCACTTATGCTTTCTACAACTACTAAGTATGAAAGTAGTTAAGAAAGCATACAAATATCCCTCATTTCTCCGATTCATCTTCTTTATCTTCCTCTACTAGAGAGTATTGAAATACTAAGTAAAAGTATAATACTTCCCACTTGAGTAATTCCATCCACCATCATATCCCTAAAGGTACTTACTTAAATAGAACTTGCCTTAAAACGCGGCATTAACCACCAATCACAACCTCCTGTTACTCATACCTACAGCCCCGACGCCAGCCGCATTCAGCCAAAATCACTCACTTTTCTGACTAACAATAATAGCAAAAGTTCTAGGTTCTTTTTTCCCCGCCCCGACCGAGCCTTGTCATTTTTGTTACTCCAGGATAATCTGTTCACAAATAACAGACAAGTATAGTCTCAACAATGGAAGAGGATATATCCAGATATCTATTATCCACTCGGTAAGATCAACCTGCTTAAAAGAAAAAGAAAGAATTCCGGAAAAGCATTCCACCCAGCAAGACACAAACACAAGAAATAAGACCCAAAAAAAGGATGATCGCTTACCCCACGGGGTGCAATCGGGACAGCTCCTCTACGAGCCTCGCCGGATTCCGGAATCCGATTTGTATTTCGTGCTTTTAATTAACAGGTTGTGTGGAATTGGGATCGTCACATTTCGTCACTGGAAAAGTACTACTTTACATAACTGAATAATTCGTATGTATGCAATTGGCATGAGATTCCGAGGTTGGGCTTAGTTTTGCTTCCTAACTAGTTACTCGTAGACTAACTAGAGCTCGTGCGAATACTTACTAATTAAAGATTCTAGACCCATATTAGAACAGTCGGATTCTTTGTCCTAATCCAGTAGGTATATCGCAGGTACAAAGGATACATATCTACACTTCTTTCGGTGTATGTATGTGCCTGTTCACTGGTCATTTCCAGGTAAACCATCGGTCCTATATACACAATTTTCCCCACGTGCAAAATTCACCTATCACATCTAAACGCCATGTATCGCCAGTATCGCCATATAAACAAACATCATGATGTGATAGTGTCCCCATCATCAATCCAATCAATCATGTAAATCATAAACCCATATGTCCCAGGTCACAGAAACCAGAAGGGCAGTCGCCGGCAGCCAGGCCGGTCATATATAAACCATCCCATCGGCTTCATACATGACCCTCCCCATCTCACATCGTAAATATAGCACATGAACACTCAATGCTCCGAATCACGCCAGCATGCACGTAGAAATGAGTAATGCAAATCGAGAAGGAGAAAACAAGAGAAGAGAAGAATCAGGCAAATCAGGCAGGCGGCGCCTCATTCGATGATGACGCTTCGACCGCCTCTCCATGCGCCCGCGTGCGCACCCGGAACTTCTCGCGCAGTCGCGTCGTCAGTCGACTGCGTCGCCGCATTCGCTGCTCATCCGCTTCGTCGGCCGCTTCCTCCCGGTTGGCCTCTTCCCGCACGCTCCGCAACGCCGCGAGGCGCTCTTCGACGCTGGCATCGCGCATGCGGCGCGCATTCAACGTACCGTGCAGGTAGTTGCTGATACGACGGTGGCGGCCATGGCCACTCTCAGTCGTTGCCTCGGCGGCTCCCTCGGCCGTCTCTGGCTGACCATCACCCAGATCTTGCTCCTCCTCGCCTTCTTGCTGCGGTGGGTTGAGATCGATGCGGCTGCAGAAGTTAGTAATTGTATATAACATAATAAGTCCAACAGAATGCTCACCAGAGAGGACATGTGCCAGAAACATTCACCAGCCACGGGTCAATACACTCGGGGTGGAATTGATGGTTACACGGCAGCACGCGCAAATCCTGCCCCTTGACAAAATCGTCCGTGCAAATAGGGCACGAGAAGTTCGGGTGATCCGTCGTCGTCTCCGTCGCAGGAGCATCGCTGCGCTTCTCTTCCTGCGATTCGGTCGGAGGCGCTTCCGTTTGTGGCTGGTGTGGGGAGGTGACCTCCGCAGTCGTGGTCACATCTCGTTCCTCCAATTCATTGGCCGGCACCTCCAACCCCGAACCCATCTCAACATCCCCCTTGGGGCCAACCGTCTTACCGTCGGGTTGGTTGTTGTCCCCGAATCTGACGATCGGGATCGTATCTAACATGGCTCGCGCTATCCCTCGCGCTCGACTTTGTCGCGGTCGTCCCGCGGTATACCGAGGCCCATAGCGCTCCGGATGGCGGTGCGCACGCACCGCACCGGTAATGATAATGGCTAAAAAGAGGGCAGTGATAATGCCTGTAATACTATACAGAATGATCATCGCTGTGGCAGGTTAGCACATGCTACCGCGGCAATGGAGAATCGGCATACCCGTGTTCGGACTCCCGGACGACTCGGTCTGGTCCTGGGTCGTTGCGGTGGGCCCCAGATACGACATGTTGGTGCCGATATACGTCGTTCCGTTCCCTGGAGCTTCAAGTTGGGACTGGACTTGCCGATTCAAAGTCGGATTCACGAGCGTAAAGACGTTGATATAGCGGTTAGCGGATGGTTCATCCGTCGTATAATTGCAGAGCAGTGAGGTGCCACTATATAAGATGACAGCGAGAGCCTGCTGCTGTGCGGTGAGGACGTTGCCTAGTGTGGAGCTGGCATCCAAGTTCCCGGGATAGGCGGATGGGTCGCAACTGATCACCGCGATATCCTTGCGGCTCAATGACAGAGAGTTGGTGGCATCCACATCCAACAAAGTCCCCGACACCAGATATTGCTAGATTCCATCAGTCTCGACATGGTGAGGCGTCGACGGGGCTGACTAACCGCAAGTTCCGCCTGATTGAGATCCACCAAAGCCTGGGTCAACGGGGCCAAACGGACGGACGTTGGCAAGTGAACCTGAGTGCTATTCAAAAGGAACCGGAGGCCACCAGTCCACGACAGATCCCCAGAGTTGTTGGAGGGCCGCACGGTCCAACCGGCCGTGTTCACTGCAGAGCCGAGGGACGAGAGGGCGAGCAGGAAGATAACGCGAGCGGGGAGCGAACAGGTGGAGGAAGCAGCAGAAGCAGCAGGAAGGGACGCAAAACGACGGAAGAAGGAGAATAAGAAGAAGAAAGGAAAGAAGAGTGAAGCAGGATGGAAACGGGGAGGACCCATCGGCGAATCGCCCAGTTGATGATGCTGGCCGGCGATGGAACTTTCCCCACAGTGACGAGGCCTACGGAGACGGCGGAGGATATGGGGGACGGACGAAGATCATGAGCCACGGACGAGGATCGGCCCAGGACCAAGAAACCAGGAGGGACCCAGAGGCAGCCGAAGAGGCACCCAACTGCCAGTCAGCGTTTTGGCGAGGACGGTGATATCACCCCCCGTGTAGGAACCGGACGATCCGCGGCGGCTACAACAGGATTGGAGCGACCGTAGTGGAAGGGGGGGCTGTGAACAACAGTGAGAGGTAGGGATGCCTCGTCACCAATACGGGCAAGTGAAGAGCGATTGGGGAGATCAGAAAAGATTTGGGGTAGTGGATTGAGTACCACGGAAATTAGGAATGGTGTGAATGAGACGATTTGGAAATCAGATGGGGGTGGGTGAGTTGGGTGAGAGTGAGTGAGTGAGTGTGTGTGGATCGGATGTTCACAACCTTCAGCAAGCAGACTGGCTGCAATGGGAATTAGCAGCGGCTGGCGATGGGGGAGAAGGATGATGATTATCCACCAGGCGAGGGGAGGTTGGCGGATGGCTGGCAAGCTGCGCACCCGGGCGATCCGGCAGGAAAAGCGATGGATGAAATAAGAGAAAGACAAATAATAATGATAATAATAATGCCACTGGTCTGTCAGCCTCGTTACTATTCTTATTACTGCTGGCCCGGTGGGTTGTTTGGAGTGAGATTCAATCAATCAATCAGTCAGTCAATCAATAAATTCAGCCAATCCACCCGAGGAGAATGAGCCGTAAAGCTGCCTGTTTCCAACTTTTAGTTCAATCAGGGGAGACAGCAAGCGAATACGAGAGGGTCGAGCAAGAGTAAGAAAGCAAAGAGCAGTGAGCAACCGGCGGAAGTTCCATGGATCGACCGAGCGATGCCGGTGGATGAAGGATTATTCATCGCAGCGCCTCGGTCTGATTGCTTGCAGATAGTCGTGGCCGAGGATTTGCGGCGTGATGATGGATGCTTGCGGTTCACTGAGAGCCGAAAGGAAGAAAAAAGTGGGACGCCGACAAGAGACAGTGTGTCAAGAGAGACACTAGAAGTAGACTAGACTAAACAGCAAGAGATAAAATGGAATCACAAATAGAAACATTGGAGATTCCAAGGAAAAAGACGGGGCAGGATAAGATAAGCCTGGTCGCATCCACTTTGGTCTTCTTTCTCTTCTTCTTCTTCTTCTTCTTACCCTCCCTTTGATTAGATTGGGGTGAATGACAGTCCACCCGCGATCGGAATCTCCGCCTACAACAATTCTTTGAGGGGGTCATAGAGGAATGAACAAGCAGACAAGCAATCCAATGGCAATGAAAATCCCCCATTCCACAGGAGAATAATGACTGGTCCTGAAGGCACGAGAAAAGAAGCTGCAACTGGACCGAGTGCGGGGGATCCTGGGCAAACCCGCCGATCGCTTGGGCTTGTCCCAATTTTCGGACGGAAGCCGTTCATGGTTCCGGTGACTGACTAAAAGATAACCAGTAATTCCGTAGCTAGCCAGCTAACTAGCAAAGATAACCAGCTGCCAGACAGGCAATTGTCAATCGGAGGAAAAAAAGGCTGACGGGGATTGACTTTCCGATTGATTAACCCTCAAGACAGGTGGCCCTGGTCAACACACGCGCACCACAAGAAAGCATCAACCATAATCTATCCCACACACGCCCACCCCCCAATTGATGGATGCAGTAGCACGAATAGGCAGCTAGATCACCGTGCGGCATTGCATCATTCATTGAACTTTGTTTTCCCGATCCAGCACCATCCCATCAAGGGGTTCCGTTTCCAGCAATGCAGAAGGGATGAGATCCCTCTCACCGCACCGCACCATATAAAAAGCTGACAGTTGCGCTCGTGCATGGGTCTCGTTTGAGAACGGGGTAAAGGTTGTCCTCTCGTCCACACCTTTTCTAGCTGCTGCTTCTGCTGCTGCTGGGTTGAAGGGAGCGCGCATGGGCCCTTTGGCGGGATGGGAATCTGATTGCTTTTTCCTCGCCAACTCCAATTTCTTCCAACGTGGATTCCTCCCCATCCAGCCAGAGCAGGAGCAATTGGTCATGATGGTGTGCAGACGAAACCATCCTTCGTCGCCAATTCACCAGTGATCGGATGATCTGGAGGGGATCAGATCTGATCCCTTGATGGCGATGCTTACCCGTAATGGAAAAAGGTAGGTATGTCGAGCTGACTAACCTTCCCTGCCTTTTGACCGGATTTGTTTCCGTTTCTGTCCTGATCAGGAAGGTCCAAGAACTCATCCCCGTTTTTGCTTCGCCGGTGATTCTCCGCTTCTCCAAGGTGGGGGTGAATCAAGCACGTCCACAGTGAGTCTGTGTTCATTTCTCCAACGGACTCTCCGATGCCGGAGTCCATGCATCTCCATTTGCGGGGATTCGGCGATGTTGCGAGCATGTCTGCTGTGAAAATGACGAGGCAGCTGGGGAACGGGCGCAAGATTGCATTGCATCTCATCTGACCAAAACCAAAGGGACTGACTGAATGACTGACTGTTCATGATCTGCATAAAATGGCGAACACAATTTTATTCATCCTCATGCAGGGATTCAGGGATTCCCTCTTTGAGCACTAGGGTTAGGGTCCCTGCCAGTCACTCGCCCCGTCCGGAATAAGCTATGGATTAGGCCGATCGGAGGGATCCGCCCATCCTCAGCTTGTTCAGCTCGCTATTCTCCAGCAACATTCCTCCGACCAGGAGGTTAGCAGTAAAAAGAAGACGGTCTCTGGGGTGTCCTCCACTTCCCCCACTTTGCAGACTCGCTTTCCTCAGCCGACAATGTTCTAGCCCATCTGGTCGCTGCTGGGATGGGTTGCTTCCAACACGCCGTGTGACATGTGTCACATCTCTTTCCCTCTATCTTCTCGCTTTAACTTGCCATCCATGTCGAGCAGGCGACCAAGCACAGTCCCTACTGTCAATAAGTAAGTTTCAGCACCTTCCCTGGGAGGGAGTATAGTAGATCAGCGAGACGAACATCCGCCAATCCATCCAGCCATCAATCCTGATCCGTCACCCATCCATCCTTTTAGCGGATCGTAGGGCGATCAAGTGGGATTGTCTAGCAGGGTTGATGTGACCTGACCTGACCTGCCCATTGCAGGCCCCCCACACACACGGCGGCGGTCGCGTGTGTTGATCGTGCCGAATTAGGTGTAGATAAAAATTGGAAGATGGAGAACAGACCACCGACTGAATCAGGGCGAAAACAAGAACATACAAAGCATAATGCAATTCATGTTTGTTTTTTGCTTAAAGTGCGATCGGATCTCGCTTGCTTGAATAATGGAGGATCTTCCTCTGGTATTTCTGAGCTGAGCTGAGCTACTTTTAGTGCCAAAGCTACCACCCAATTTTAACCTATGCGTGATAGCCACCCTCGTCACTCGTTCCAAGAGTATTGACAACCACCACATCACCACCCCTACCATCACAACCATGCAGGGTGTAGATGATGTAGAGCAGACATGACAGACATGAGATGACATGTCTGAAGATGGATTCTACCTCAGGGGAACGCCCCAATCAGACGACCATAGTTTATTGAGGGTTCCGATCTGTCGTGGCGCGCAACAGCAGCGCAGTACTACCACTACCATTACAGAGTACTCTTCTCTCATTGAGAAGAAAGATCTACTGGGCAGTATATCGTTCATCAACACGAGAAAAGAGTTAGTAGTAAGATAGTGATAGTTAACTAAGTCAGAATTAGGTGACCGTAGCACTCGCCCAGCCAGCACGCAAGCACCGACGAACCAAACCCGCCACAAAACACACTACATACTTGTTATATCGCAACGGTGTTATTAGGGGCTCCCGCCGAGGATTCCTCTCAGTGCTACCTACTGCCTACTTATCTAAGTATTGACCTACTTAATTCCTACGGAGTTACTGCTCCTGCTGCTGCTGCTACGGATACAGCCGATTAAGACCGCCGCCGCCGCCGCCATGCATGCATCCCTACCCTCTTCCATCCTTGTGAGGGGGATAATCAAGAGAAAGGAATAGAGGGATGGATGGATGGATGGATGGGTTGATGATAAATGCAGCGGCAGCAGCAGTAGCAGCAGCAGCCACCGCCAACGATTGGCGGGAGTATCGCGGTGGTCTCGACCGTGTTCTATACTACCGTGGGGCTTGTGACAGCAGCAGGAGCAGCAGCAGTTAGTTAAATAACTAACCTACTTACAAACTACTATGTAAGTAGTGTAGTGTAGTGTAGCAAGCAACACTTGGTCCGTGTGTTCTGTTTCTTCCTTACTTAATTCCTTCTACACTCGCTTTCTGGATAGTTAATAGAGATAGATCTACTACGTACGTACTATACTGAATTACAGATCGTTTTACCCACACATAGTGGATAAATGATAGATACATGAACAAGTAAACAGAATGGGGTCAACTTCCACCATTCTAATATAGAAGATTACATACATACATACATACATACATAACAATACCCATAACCCAATTAAACACATAAGTAAGCAAGTAAGTGTAGTAGTAGTGCACCCGACAACCTGGAAACACATTCCTATCGACGGAACAAGCTGCCACCAATCTCCGTCGTGGATAGATTCCCGCAACTTAACTTGCTTCAAGTACTAAGTAGTAGTAGATATGTATCCGTAGGTAGTAGATAACTGGTAAGTAAGTATACCGTACCAAGCATGATGGAAGGTTAGTAATGGTAGTCTAACCCCCCAAGCCACGTACATCAGGTACTAAGTTACTACCGCACTCCCTACCCGATTCAACCAAAGCTCAAGAAAGGAATGAATGTGGTGGTTGTGGTGGTGGCTTGGACAGATTCGCCTCATCCGACCCTCAGATAAAGGGGGGAGGTTGTGGGTGGTGGGATGAGAGACAAAAAGATTGGGGCTTTGTTTCGTTCGTTCGTTCATTTCTTTTTCTTCCTTTGTTTGGATGCGATGGAATTGCACAGGATGGTAACTTACCGACCGACTGGGTTCAGCACTTTTATTTAGTTATTTTATTTACCTGGATATAAGAGCCATGGATAGGGTGGGTGGTATGGTCAGATGGTGTCTTTTCTACTTGTAGGGATTTTAATTTTCTGGAATGAGTTTAATTAGTACTGTGTTGTGTAGTGGTCAAGGGTATACCAAGTAGGGTAGTTGGTAGTGAAGAGTGCAGAAGAGTGCTTAAAGGGGTAAATAGCTACACTTAGGGGAATGCGAAAAAGAACCGATGAAAAAGGGACAGAAGATAGTACTAAATTGCTACGAAGGTAAGGTAAAAGAGCAGAAGATAAAGAATAAATGAAACAGGAAAAATAATTAACCAGGGCGTGAGTCCATTAATCTATTATTTGCATGGGGGGGAGGGTTGATTAATAGAGTCAATTAACATTGACTAGGGAGGGAGGGAAGAAAATAAATAACAGAAAAGGAGGGATGGATGAATGTGAGTAAAATATTGTGGTTGGGGAGGGATGTTTGTTCATTGTCATCCAACCCATCACGCAACTAGCTCCAGGTGTCAAAAGCTCAAGCCTACTGTAAGTCAGTCAGTCAGTCAGTACTTTGCTTTCTTTATGGGGGAAGGGGGAAGAAAGAGACGACATGACATGCCTAGCCTAGCTAAATATCCGCTGGTTATAGTTCAGTCAAAGGGATTGACTGACTGATTAACACACACTGCGGAAAATCCTACCCTACTTCTACGTTTCAGTCCCCACTTGCTCCTTAGAGAAGAAGAACGAGTCAACCTCAGGCTCGTATGGGGAAGTAAAAAAAGGCAAAAAGGGCGCCAGGAAGCGCACAGAGACAAGAGGCAGAGAGAGAATGCCATGTCAGGCCGAACCAAAATTAGCAGCAGCAGCAGCAGCAGAGCGAAAGATGGGATGGATGGGTGGATGGATGGATGGATGAATGAATGGATGGCGGTCGAGGGTCTGGAAGAGTTATCCCGCGTCCTCCTCCCCGCTTCCATTCGAGGGCCTCGACCGCTGGAGCCCCCGGCGAGATCCAGACTGATTGGCCACCGCCGCCCAGGGAGGCGCGCCCGCTTCCCTGCTGAAGGTGTTGAAGGAGGGTCACTCTCTCCTCCCAGTCGAGGGCCGAGGCCTCCCATCGAACTGGTATTGTAGTAAATTGGATCGGGGAACCCGGTCAGATGCTCTCTCTGTAATTGAAAGGTATAGGGGGCCGTTGCTATGTTATACCACCCTGCTCCAGGGTTTTTTATTCCTACCTATGATTTTGAATTCTCACCACCACAACAACACGGGATGCGATCAAATGGTGGTGCTGTCTGTTTGGAACTACTGACGCCGTCTTCCCGATCAAGCACCAGAGAAGCTTAAAAATGATTGATATTTCCGGTGCATCTGAAATTTCAAATCCTTTCGAATTCTAATTGCGAGGAACATTGGTTTTTTTTTTTTTTTTTTCTTATTTCCCCTTCTCCCTCTGTGACTTTTTCTTTTCTTTTCTTTTCTTTTTCCTTTTTTCTTTCTTACTGATCAAGACAAGAAATTAAATACTAAATCAATCATAATCATGATTATTATAATAATAATAACACATCCATCCATCCATCCCAGTGGAAGCCTAAACTTAACTTTTCCTTTTTATTTTCTATTTCTCTCTTACTGACACACTCTCTCCATACCGAAAGAAGATAATCGTGGAAACAAATACCAAAAATATGCATTAAATAAAATAGGCAGTTAAGAATAACAATAACCAGAGAAATGATAAATCATCCGCTTAACATGGAAAATTAAAAGCCAAATAAATCAGTAATGATTGAGCCAAAGAAGGCACAGACAGTCTGCTTTGCACTGACTGGTAACCGTAGTACTTTTTCCCTGGTCCTCTTTGGGGGGGGGGATGTTTTTTTCTGTCCAAGCCCCCCCTCTTCTCTCTCTCTCTCTCTTTTCCTCTCCAACACTCTCTACTACTAACTACTAACTCACTATTGATGCTGTTGTCTTTCACTCTTCTCAATCTTGTCTTCATCCTGTCTTTATCCCTCCACCCCCAGACCAAAAGTCCCCTTTTCCCGGGCGGGACCTCCCGCTAAAGCAAACGCGATCAGGATGCGCTCCACGAGGCTTTAATCGGTCAAACAATCCATCGACAGGGAATTCATTCATCGAGGCCCCAACGAGGCGATCAGGAACAAATCCACCGCCCCGTTCTTTTACTCCCACTGCCATTCCTATTCCTACTACTTCCTCACTACCTCTACTACCACTACTACCACTGCCACTACTTCCAATTCTTCCCCAATCTCTCCCTCCCCCTTCGCAGACATTTAGATTCCAATTCCAATTTACAATTTCCCTTCCAATCCCCATCCTATCCTATCCCCCTTCTAATTCATTCCTTTCCCTCTTCTTCCTCCCGCTTTCCCCCCCAAAAGTCTCAATCTGAAACCTCACCTTCAACTCCATCCATTCATTCATTGATTCACTCACTCATCCATCTACCCATCCATCCATCCATCGCCACTACTACTACTCCACCCTTCTCTATTGTCAACATTCACCCCCTCGCGCTAGATGATCGATTCCACCCAACTTTAGCCTTCCCATCTTCTTCACCCTCGCAGACGTCCGCCCCTGACATGCACCTGTCGGCTCACTCGACGAGACAGCGCTCGTCGTGCCTTGCCGTCCGTTAGCAGCAGCCCCCACGCCTGCCCGGCAACCATGTCCCCTCCGTCCCTCGCCATTCCGGCCACTTCTCCCGTGGCCGAAACTCTCCATCTCTGGAAGAAACGCTTCGACAAGCGTCATCTTTCCACGTAAGCCAGTTTCCCCCCTTGCTTCCTTTCATGATTCGAGTCTCGTGGGGCTGTCGTCGTTTCGTGACTCGTTTGACTTCCCGTCAACCTTGTGTGTCTGTCTATGTGTGTTTGTGTTGGTTGTGCCCGCGGATGATCTACACAGGCTCCATCCCCCATGATAGGATAGATAGTCCGTGCTTTAATACTCTTCCGGAATAGCTAGAGCACGGTGCGGATACAAGACCGTGATCGTCCCACTGACTCGCCGACAGCAATCCAGTTATCGCTACCCTTGATATAGAATACAACGAGCTGGTGCAGTCTTGGAAACGCTTCCAGGATAACCTCCTCCCCCATGATCGAGTGCTCTTCCACGAACGTCTGCAAGGTCCCGACGATGTTTTGGACGTCATCGCCAGCATCGAGCCCGTCTGGACGTCCACGTCGGGACAGCGAATGTTGAGGGAATGTTGCGACGAATTTCGTTCGACCCTGGGCTCACACGGGAGGTTACTGGCCGTTCTACCAAGGAATGAATTGTACTGCTCGATCTTTTACGGCGTCCTGCAATCTCTTCTGAAGGTGAGCCCGGATGTTGTTCGTATCCCCCTCCCCAAGTCAATAACTAAATCATGAGTCCCAGGCATCCGCGGGCTACCCCAGAATAATGGAAGGATTGACCAAAGCACTGGTCCAGATCAACCGCCTCATTGCCTCACCAGCCTCGGGCGAGGCCGTGCCGGCGACGAAGGACTCCATCAACGCCATTGCCCGCTTCTACACGCTCCTATTTTTCTTTCTTGGAGAAGTGATGGACTGGTATGTGAGAAAGGCCAAATGCGGGCTCCTGCGGAGCCCCAACCAAGACGTGTACCGTGCCTTTCAACGCCTGATTGGTCAGATTCGACGCACCGCGAAAAACATGATGCACGATCTCACCGACGCCATGGACGTCGATGACACCGACTGCGATAGCCTATGTGAAATGACCCATGACGACTATCGGGGATGGTTTGAGCGGGCTCGATTGAGCCAGGTGGGCCTTCAGAACGGGGCCCGTCGCTTCGCAGCGCAGAACGCCCTTACCCGTCAGTTGATGTGGGAGATTCATCAGGATGCGGCGGAGCGTAAGCGATTGTTGCAAGACAGAGATGTTCTTCTGGCGCGATTGCTGGACACTGTTAGTCTACAGCTACAGTCCGTGAGTAAACAAAACAGCGGCATTGCCTGTTTGACCACGACCGCTTCCCAGGATTTAGGTAGGGAAGCCAGGCTCACATGGCCCGAACTGCTCGAAGAGCTGACCGTGCACGCATTACAAGACACAGACAGGTTTAACCTGATAAAAGGGGGGCACAAGCACAAGTACACGCGCATGGAATTGCAGATGGCTTCCCAGAAACTCGAAGACTTCTTTGATGCCGACGACCAGATCCCCGCGCTCGAAGTCGACGTTCCAGTCATTGCGGAAGATAACGTGATGACCTCGCTAAAACAATGGGCGACCGACGCCCACTCACAGGTCTTGGCCGTGGGGGGCCCTCAATCGACAGTCTACCCTAGCCCGGTTTTGCTTGTCTCGACGTGTTACGCGAGCTTTGCTCGCAAGGCGGGCTTGCCCGTTATCTCCCACTTTTGCAACCGATCCACCGATGCCGCCAACGAACTGACCTATGAGCAACACCTCATTGCCTTGGCCTACAGCTTGATCCGCCAGTTGATAGAATACCTGCCTCCTGTAGTCGAAAGTCATGCGGGGTGTGATCTGAGCGGCGAGCGGTTCAAACCTTTGAACGGCTCGCTCACGTCTTGGAAGGAGGTACTCTCGCTGATTGATATACTCCTGCACTTTGCGCCACCCCTGCTGGTGTGCGTGATCCATGGGCTCGATGTCATTCAAGATGCGTCGACAGATCCGTACATCCGCTCATTGGTGCGGACCTTTCTGACTCATACGCGGCACCAGCCAGAAATGCTGCCAAACGGCGGACAGAGCCAGAGTGTGTTACTAAAGGTGCTGTTCACGGTGGCTGGTCGCCCAAGCTCGCTAGTGGAGACATTATCCGAGAACCAGCTCATTCTGCGGGAGTCGAACACGACCGAGGAGCTGACCCCGACCGACGCCGCCTTGGACGCCGATGTAGGCCCTACGGCCATGATTGCATAGTCATTTCGATGCTTGAGCGACGCCGCATTGCGATTTGAGTTTGATTATTCTTTTCTTTCGGGTGAAAAATCGGGTCCTCATAGAATTTCATGCAGGCTGGGAATATTCTTCATGTCTTGGATATAAGATGAATCGGTATGGGCTGCTGGATGATGCATTGCTGTGACTTCTTCCTTTCTTTCGTAACGTCACATCCCCCCAGCTTAAGGGGGGCTTACAACGATGGTTTTTCTTTTTTTTCTGCAAGTTGATGGAGATATTTCTATTGTTTGGGACAGGCACATCTCATCTATCTCGGAAGCACGGAGTATACGACAGGACCGGTTGGGAGGGAGCATTTGGGTGTACATTTGTAATTATAGCAGCTCGACGAGGACATGCATATACGACGGCTGTTGCTAGACTGATACCCTGAGTTGCAGTGGCTGTCCTGATCTGGATCAGATTCTCTGTTAGTTGTCTTTCCCCGGATTTGTGGGTGTTCTTGGCACCCTCGGGATTCATCTTCCGACGCAGTGCAGCTGCATCTCAACCTCTTCCCCGCAATGGTTCTTTTCTTTCTCTTCTGCATCCTCTTCTGGGGTCTGTACGAGTCAGCCAAGCGAGCTTTCTCCACTGACCGCGTCTTCCCTTGGTGGGTGCGCGTGACTTGCTGTGTTCGGAATTTAACGTGGAAGTGGATCCGGGACTGCACCTCCGTCCCAGACAGATATATATTTATTGAACTCTCCCAGGCTGGTGGACAACGCAGTCAACATCAACAATCGTCTTACAAGCCATCTCCAACATGGGTTCCAATGGACTTCGCACCGGCTCCAGCCGGCTCTTTCAGCTGGATTCCGTCAATGTAGAGGAATTCAAGAAAATCTGCTCCCAAACCACCGACCCCACCAGCTATCCGCTGGCCGTGGCCGTGCAGAAGAACATCCCTATCTATGATGCCACTACCTTTGATCCCCTGAGTGCGGATACCACCCCAGCACTTCAAGCAGAATGGCATCACATTCTTGAATCTGGACCGGGCATCTTTGTCCTCAAAGGCATGTACCATCCCTCGCGGTACGCAGATACCCTGAACGCCACCAATGCGGCTTTCCAACACATCATCGATCGGGAGCGTCAGTCTCTGGGCCCCAAAGGCGACCACTTCGCTGCCAGCGGGAAGAACGACCGCATTTGGAACTCCTTCAGCAAGCACGCCTTTGTCGACCCCAGCTCCTTCATCAACTACTACAGCAATCCCTGGCTGCGTGTGGTTAGTGAAGCCTGGCTGGGCCCCGCCTATCGGGTGACCGCCCAGGTCAACATCGTCAAGCCCGGTGGCGCCGCCCAAGATAGCCACCGAGACTACCATCTTGGATTTCAAGAGTTGGATCGATGTGCAGCCTTCCCGCGGAGTGTTCAACTCGCCAGTCAGTATCTTACGTTGCAGGGGGCCGTCGCACACAGCGAGATGCCGGCGGAGAGCGGTCCCACGCGGTTTCTGCCGTTTAGCCAGACATATGCGCCGGGATATCTGGCATGGCGCCGGGACGACTTCCGGGCATACTTTAAAGAGAACTATGTGGCATTGCCGTTGGAGTTTGGCGATGGATTGTTCTTCAATCCGGCAGTGTTCCATGCCGCAGGGGCCAACGAGATGGCCGAGAGCACGGGCTTCCATCGCAAGGCCAACCTGTTGCAGATTGGGTGTGCCTTGGGGAAGACGATGGAGCACATAGATGCGGTGCCGGTGGTGGACAAATGCTGGGAGGAGGTCAGTGAGAAGTATCGCCGGCAGGGAGGGCTAAATGCAGAGTTGGAGGCATGGGTATATGCCGTGGCAGATGGGTATCCGTTCCCCTCGAACCTGGATCGCCGGCCCCCTGCTCCGAGTGGGATGGCACCGGAGAGCGAACAAGAGATGATTCTGAGGGGGTTGAAGGAGGGATGGGATCGGCCCAGAATTGTGGAGGAGCTGCGAGCGCTGCAGCGAGAGGGACGGGGGCACCAGGGGGTGTAGTTGATATGCATTCTGTTGTACGTATAGATAGCTGATCATAAACTTATGGAGGAGCATTTCTCCGATGCAACCCTACCTCGTGTCCTTCCCCTCTATACTCCCACAAGACGAAGCTCAAGTAGGACAACTGCCACCATGTGATCCGTCCCTATCATCCTTCGCTACTCACGATCAGACCGTCCACGCTTCCACCATGCCCATTCCCATAGCGACCCAACATGCTGTCCTTCTGGCAGCTCCTCCAGCTACTGCTGGCCACCCTCCCAGCAGCAGCCATCAACCTCACGGGCTATGAATTCATCGTCGTAGGCTCTGGCGCCGGCGGAGGCCCCTTGGCCGCCCGCCTAGCCCTAGCAGGCCACTCAACCCTACTCCTCGAAGCAGGCACCGACCAAGCTCACAACCTCAACACCTCCGTCCCAGCCTACGCAGCCCTCGCCGCCGCAGACGACCATCTCTCCTGGAATTTCTTCATCCGCCACTACGCCGACGACGTCCAACAAGCCCGCGACCCCAAAACCGTCTACGCTACGCCCACCGGCGAGCAATACGTCGGCCTCCATCCACCCCCAGGATCCACTATGAAAGGCATCCTCTACACCCGCGCCAGCACCCTAGGAGGCTGCACTGCCCACAACGCCCTCGTTGCCATCTACCCCCATCGCTCCGACTGGACCTACATCGCCAACCTTACCAACGACCCCTCGTGGCTCCCCGACCCCATGCGTGAATACTACATCCGCCTCGAAAACAACCACTACCTACCCCCGGACATCCCAGGCCACGGCTACACCGGCTGGCTCTCCACCGAGCATGCCCCCATCAACCTCGTCTTCCAAGACCCCCAACTCCTCTCCCTCCTCCTCGGCGCCATCTTCACTCAACCCCGAACCATCCTCTCCAACCTCATCTCCCTCCTCCTCGGCGACGTCAACTCCCCGTCCCCCTCCCGCGACTCCAAACCCGCCTACTACCAAACCCCCATCTCCACATCATCCAACATCCGCAACGGCGCCTCAGACTTCCTCCGCGCCGTCCACTCCGCTACCAACCCAGACGGCAGTCAGAAATACCCCCTAACAATCCGCACAAACTGCCATGTCACCCGCATCCTCTTCGACACCACCTCCCATCCCCCAAAGCAACAGGCGTCTCCTTCCTAGACGGCCCCTACCTCTACCGCGCCAGCCCTCTCTCCTCCCCCCACACCCCTCGAACCCCGGGCACCGCCACCGCCACCCGCGAAGTGATCCTCTCCGCAGGCGTCTTCAACACGCCCCAGATCCTCCAACTAAGCGGCATCGGCCCCGCAGACCTCCTCCAGAAACACCACATCCCAGTCCTAGTCAACCTCCCGGGTGTCGGTGTAAACCTCCAAGACCACTACGAGACCTCCGTCGTAGTCGAAGCCCCATTCCCCTTCCGCATCCTAAACGGCTGCACATTCAACTACACGTCTGACCCGTGTTTAACCCGCTGGCTGAATCTGAAAGGACTACACAAAGACAGAGGAATCTACTCCTCTGCAGGGTTTACAAGTACATTACTCCACCATACCCCCTTTCCCAACACATCCACCACACCTAACCACAGTAACGACAACAATGACAACAAAAGTGATGACTACAATACAATAATCTACGGCGGCCTCGTCAACTTCCGCGGCTACTTCCCGGGCTTCGAAGTCAACCTAACCCTAACGCACCACTCCTTCACCTGGGCCATCATCAAAGCACATCCATCCAACAGAGCCGGAACGGTAAACATCAGTTCGTCAGATCCGCTCGATCCTCCACATATCCTTTTCAACTCCTTTTCAGACCCTAATTCGGAGAAGGATCTATTTGCCTTAGTGGATGCGATTAGGGTTGCGAGAAGAGCACTGAAAAGACAATTTATCCCTACGTGGGAGACTCTCCCCGGGAAGGAGGTACAGGGGTATGAAGAACTGAGGCAGTATGTGTTGGATACGTCGTGGGGGCATCACGCTGTGGGTAGTTGTAGGATTGGAAGGGGTGAGGGGGGTGATGATGAGGGGGCGGTGGTGGATGGGAAGTTTAGGGTTAGGGGCGTACGGGGCCTGAGGGTTGTGGATGCGAGTGTGTTTCCTAGGGCGCAGGGGACGTTTCCGGTGTTGGGGGTTTCTATGTTGGCGGAGAAGGCGGTGGGGGATATTCTGGGGGATGGTGGGTGGTGAGGTGGGGTGAGTTGTATGTGGATGGGGAGGATGTTGTGTAGGCTTGTGGTGGTGGTGATGATGATGTAGGGTTTGTTTAGCAGTTAGTAACTAAGTTAGTCTGTCTACAAGTGGAGAGTGATTGAGAAAGATGCCGTGGAATCACCAACGAATCTACGTGCCATTACAGGGTACCATTGTTCTCTTTGGAACAGGAAAATGGAATGAACTTAAAGTATAAGGCATAAGTGACATATCAAAGAAATGGTATTCTGACTGGGTATAGTATTATGGATTATATAGCGAGGGATATCAGTGGGTAATGCGGTGTAAACAGGAAAGTGAAAGTAGATAAAAGGAAGATAAAGAGGGAATCGTACGAAAAGAGTAGGAACAGGCAAAGAGGGAATAGGAAGAAGAGCAAGAAGAAAGATGTTGCAATGAGGGTCTGTAAGGAAGAGGGTAAAAGAAAGAGAAAAGAAACGAAACGAAACGAAAAGAGAAGGAAAACACAAAATAAGTGAGGGTAAGTGTGAATGAGTGTGTGGTGAGGGGAAGGAGATCATTTCTTGTTGATCTTGTTCAGATAGTTTTTGATCTCTTGGTTGCCTCTTTCCCTCACATCCGTGAGCCAATCTCTCACTCCCCGGCTACTATCTCCCACCCGGATAACACCGTCCTTCACACCCTTCCATCCTTTGATGGGTTGTTCTATAAAACTGTGATTGCCCCAGCACATCTTAGACCAGAGCCCCTTGTCGGGCGAGGCCCGCAACCCAGCCCGACTCTTGTTGCAGTCATTGCAGTAGTCGGTCGCCGGGCAGTCAAGACACATGTACCACTGAGGTGCCTCCAAATCCCACTTGCTCAACTTCGGCTTATTGCAGGGCCCCATGCACTGCAGCGTGCAGCCATTACTTTCATCGACGTCGATAGTCTCGTCCGGGATGGGCATGCTGTCGGGAGTCGTCACTGCCGTTGTTGGGGACTCGTTTGTACTATCAACAGAGCAATGACAAGTGCACGCACTCTTGACGGACTGTGGGCTTAACGGCTCCCCAGGATGGGCTGCTGGCGCAGCGGCGGGGCTGCCTGGGTCGACCTTCAACCCCATCCATCCATCGACAGCAGGTTTTGGCGCAGTACGATCATAAAGGGATGCCGATAAGGTGATTTGGAATTCGTCCTCGCTGACTTGCACCGCGTCGGCATTGGCACGATCAAATATGAGAGACGCTGCGATTCCGGCATCCTTTTTGAGATTAAGCCAATACAGCACCTTTGCCAGGGTGCGAAAAGCAGACATGTCGTTGCCATCGACCCAGTCATCCAGATCGGCGATACAGAGCTTGAATGCTTGTTCGGCTAATTCGTACGCCCGACGTTTATGATTCATGAGTGAAAACATTTTGGCGAGCGTTATGAGAGCGTTTGCTTTGGCAGATGATTCTATGACATCTGCTACCCGGACATTGTTGATTAGGTCAGATGCTGCATAACACAGAGACATTTTCGACTGTTGGACCTTGGTCTTGCCGAATCGATTGTAGTAAATGTCGAAGCGCTCTGTGATAATAATACTGAGCAGTTTAGAGTCAACTTGGAGGGTCTCGTCTCTCATCATAGCATCCAGTATCCTGTTAAAGATATCTTCGGCCATCCTGATTGCATGACAATCTTGTCGGTAAATGATTGCAAGTTCCGATAGCATGACACATGTCTCGTGGAATAGCCCTTGATAAGCCCAATAATTTATGGCACTGTCGTAGATTCGTATAACGACTTCAACGTTGCCAGTTGCCACAGCTGCCCGGCGAAGCCAGTCGTCTTTATTCGTTTGGCGAGAGCGGCTCATCAGCCAAGTGGGAATGAAGTTGGTTCCCTGGGTAGCCATCTGCCTTTCTACCGTATTGATGATAGCCATATGATCTTCCTTCTCTGCATAAATCTGCACGAGGATAGTCAGGAAATAATTTAGCCCTCTTTTGTTCTTGAATTCACCGCTTAGCACTTCTATGCATCTATCGTGGGCTCGCGTCTTATCACCGAGGGCCATGCAGGCTTGGACGGAAAGCATATAGACCCTTCTGCATCGGTCGAGGTTGAAATTAGGTCGCAATGCGGCATCCGTATCTTTCCAGCACTTCAGGGCTTCATCAGTATACTCCTTGACCTTTGTCCATTCATCGACACCGTTGACTCCGGCCTTGGATACAGAATGTTCTGCAAGTCCAAGCAATGAATACAGCTTCTCCGCACACATTGAATCATCCAAGTAACGGTTCTGCTCATACAGGAAGAGAGCATAGTCTCGGTCTACCTGGTCATCGCATTCATACAGGAGGAGGGCGGCTGTAAGTCGCGCTTGCGCAAACCGTGTGCGCGAGTCTCTGCACCACAAAAACAGATCTCGAGCGATCTTCGCGCTGATCTGATCATCATCTCGGGACCAGTGCTTGTATTGTCCAGTCTAAACAAGTTAGCTTACCAGGACTGATTGTTATCGGTACCCAGGTACGTACATTGAACAACGCGCGATAGGCAAGCCGGTATGGAACCTTAGCGCCCTCAGGAGTGGACTTTTGAACCCAGCTGCGAATATGGCCTTTAGCTAGATCTTCCAGCATTCCTTCAGGACGCTTCTTCAAGGCCTGGGCCCAGGTCCATATCTGAGTCGGAAGAGATAAGTTTTCTCTCTCGTCTCTTTCTGTCAGCTTTTCTATCCAAGCCCGCACAAGTTCATTGGTGCTCCGGGCCTTGTCGGTATCATAGATATCGAAGTGAATTTGCCTGTCAGATGAGTTCCATAGTATATCCTCGAACACAGAAGAAACGCCAGTTTCGTTTGTCAGAACCCTGCCCAAAGCTTCTCCGACCTTCTTCAGCTCCCTACCCGGGATCTCTTGTGGTTTTGTGGGCCTCGTGTCCCTGTAATGTGACATCTTATCTTTGAAGCCCTTCTTAGCATCCTTGGTACTGGGTCGTTGCCATTGGGGAACAATTTCTCTGTCAATGTCTTTTAGATGCTGGATGAGGTGGCAGGCCGCATATTGACAGAGAGCGGTAGGTTTATCCGCTTTGTGATCGCAAAGAACGTCGCAAAGAGTGACAAACATGTTAACCTTCTCAGCATTTACGTCCAGACCTGGCTGGAATTGACCCCTTTTGACGCATTCTCTGACCTTTGCGTTGCGGAACTCGATGTATTGATAATCACCGATGGACGGGGTTTTGCGGGATTTCTGATTAGAGTTCTCAGTCTCGTGCTCGGGTCGGGAACACCAATATAGCTCGCGGTCCAAATTCGAGGGGCCTAAGTCGGGAGGAAGCATCTGCCGCATGAAAAGGAGACTATGAAAAGGTCAGATTGAACGTGTATCGCGCTTTCTGGGATCAGCAGTCCTTACTTCTTACACTGAGACAGGATGGGTTCCAGCCCCAGACCCCTTACCCGCGCATCATCGTCAAGGGCAAGTATCTGGTTTAGGTTGGTCACCGTGAGAGTCTGCTTCGCAAATGCGCACCAAAATAGCACTTTTTTGACAGCCTTCTCAAGTGGCTCGTTGTCTTTTGCCAGAGCTCTCCTCACCAAAGCGTCTTCTCCATCACCTATCATCTCTTTGAACCTGCCAAAGCTCTTCGGACCTTTAACTTCATACTGTTCCATAATTTCGATGGTCTGGTCCAACACAGACAGGTTTCCTAGTAGCCATCTACCGCGTTAAAAGAAAAGAACTTCCACATAGGAGGGACCAGTCAGCTCACCTTCTGATAAATGCTTTATGAAGTCCGAGACCTCCTTGACGAGGTCCTGATGGAAACGCAAAAGGTGCGAGAGCTTGTTAAAGGAACTCATGCGTTGGAGAATGATCTTGTCTTGAAGAGGGTCAGTATTCCACATGCTGATTTCAGGAATGGATGCTTTTTCCGCCAGGTCGGATGGAAAGAGTTCTCCCTGATCGTGAGACCCTGTCAGGAGGACCCAAATACGATGGTTCCTTTCCCCAAGTGTCTCATATAAGAGACCCAAAAGTGATTCTCGCTCTTTGGGCTGCATCTCCGAAATACCGTCCAGCAGGATGTACAACTGTTCGGACGAATGTGATCGCTTCTCAAACCGCTTCAGCACGAGCTCATCCCAGACCATTTTCGCATCGCGCGAATCCAAGACAGGTTTGGTGGCTATCGCGTCACACCACTTTGGATCCTGGGCTGCAATCTGGAATAGAATAGAGGCCACAACGCTGGCGAAGCTCTGATTGTACTGCATGCCCGGCTCGAACAGAAAGTAAGTGACTATTAGTTGCTGTCGCACAGTTTCTTTCTGGACCAGAGTTTGATCTCTTCCGGCTATTGACGGTATCAGCTGATAGCAATGTGCTGTTAGGAACGTCTTTCCCACGCCATCACCGCCTTTAAAGTATAATAAAGGACAGGTGCCGTGCGGGTATAGCCACTTCCTAAAATAGTCATTCTTTTCAACCCACAGTAAACCGTCATCAATCAGTTGTGGCATGAATGAGTCCATGCGAGTGGCCATCTGAGACATCACTGTGAGGTTGAGATTGAGCTTGCTTTGGAGGGTTTTCGTCAGCTTATCAAACACGTTCCCTTTCTCAGACATGCTGTGCATATCGAACGAGAAGGCAGTCTGCTGCATCTTGGTATTGGTATTCTTGATCAGCCAGTTAACGCCATCCTTTATCTCTTTGGTATCATTGTATCCTTCAATTTTTATTGACTTGTGGAAGTTCTTGATCGCTTGTTCAACCTTTTCGCATTTACCGGAGGTCAAGTCGGTCTGGTAATTGAAGAGTTTTTTTGCGAAAAGCGCTATGGTTGGAGACCCCTTAGTTGCAACTCTTGAGACAAAGGATGCGCACTTTTCTGTGACTTGGGTAGACCTACTGATACGTTTTTGGCTTCGCAGATCGTGCCCTACATAGGAGCAAAACTGCAACAAGGCGATAAAAACACCCACTAGGCTTTGCTTGGCAGTTGGCGTGACGACGGGATATTTGTCGAAAGTATCAATTTCTTGCATTGCAGCAGTGATTGTCTGAAACGTTGCCTGAACAGTGTTCAGGTCTGCGCTCACATCCTGGGCAGCCTGCTTGGTATGAGCTATCCGGTCGAAATTGGGCTGGTGAGATGGGGCAGAGATTCCCGCGCATGGTTTACCTTGAGCAAATACGATATGCCCCCAGCGAGCAGCTTGGCTGGTTCGGCATACTAAGTTGGTTAGATAATTGAGCGAAATTCTTTGGAATAGCCATATACATACAGTCCCGCTTGCGTGGCCTTCGACATAAGTGCACGCTTTCTGTGCCCAGGACATACACTGTTGCACTGGCTCGCGTAATTTGTTTCCAAACTTGTCAGCTTGGGGGTGTCTCCAATCGCGGAAAAGGGCCTCTGTTTGAGCGAGAGGGTCGCTTGCTGAGTGGAAGTCGGCTAGGTGCGCTTCTTCGGCTGGGTCGAATTTCAAATCTCCCTTTGCCTTTGCAAAAGCCTTATCCCACAGCTGCGTCATCGATTCCTCGCCATACCCCAATCTTTCATCGTCCCCATCTTTGCGATTCAGGAGCGATTTGACGTCCTTCATTGTGGGCGTATCCGACCGTGGAAGTCAGAGACCTGAGAAGAGCAATCCCACAGTCGTCGCGATGGGGCGAACTGAAATACATAAGACAGGGGGAGGCAGGTGCGGCTGAGCTGAACTTCGTCAGCCATCCCTATTCTTCTCGCTCCATCATTGCTCGATCTGAATCGACCTGCATAGTTAGAGGCGCACTAGACGAACCATGGAGCACGGCAAGGGCCCTCATTGGGCCGATCGATCGAAGTTCAGTGGCAGAGAACCCGAGCAGGTGGGGACACGGGAGATTAATCGCTACCCAGCTGACAGCGTGGTTCTTCAGCTGGGAAGCTTATTAATTTATGCGCTCGCGATGCGTGCACATAGATTGACTACTAGCGGGGCGATTTCATCGAAGGTGACGGCTAAAACTAAATATGACTTGGAATGTCTCCGTCTCAGCACGTACATCATGGAGTGTCCCATGGATTGGCATGAGGGATGGGTGGCTAGCGCGCATCTCCGGTGTTTTGACGATCAGCAGAGAGACCCACTGTCAAAAGTTTAGCACTTCTCCTGGTTGGATCGTGATGCGGAGGCCCCGTCGCATGCTCCATGCTCCCAACACGGTCCCGGAGCATTGGAACTGCAGCTGCAGGTCGACCATGGACTATCTGACGAATCAGACCTATCCTTTGGTAGTCTTCAGATTGAAGATGTGAGTGCAAGAGAGTGATGGCATTGATACAATGACGGAACCCATTACCCCAAGGGGGAATGATATGCTTCGCCCTGGCATGGGCCCCTTCATCTCCACCGATGACGGGGATGCCGGAATTACTGTGTAAATTTATTGTAGAGAAGGGAGAAAAAAGAGAGAATATAGAAATGACAGAGAAGCATTAAAACAGTCTCGTGTCTGTCATAGGTTCATGCAAGTCATGAGAAGGTGACATGGCTTGTTGTTATTGTGAGGAGAGGTGGGTACATGACGAGTAAGTACATAGTTTGGTGCTAAACTTCCGATAGTCGGCAGCAACGACCTCAGCATCACGTGTATGTGTCACGTTTAGCAATCACGTGACATAACATCAGGTGATAGCAGCCATTCGAGGCTATTCCTCTTTGAGTTACCGCATCTCCGATCCATCGAAACTCTTGATGGAATCAATTATTCATAGAATGATTCTCCCGAGGGACCTCGCTCTCCCTTCCCGCGGATCAATGTCCGGCTTCTTCATTCGACATGGCTCCTACCAGACCTGGCAAGTCAGGTAATTAGCCAGACGTGTGCCAATGCAGCTTCAGCCTTCCCTGCTCCAGCACGACCTCCAACCTACTCTGAGCCCAAAACCACTGACATCAACATATTACAGACACGATAGGGCGTAAAAGCCAGCATCTGAATTGAGAGAATGCTTCCAATTTGCCTATTGCAGATACGCTGAAAGCCACAGGGTATTTTAACAATGCCATTGGCACCGATTGAGAACGAAATTACCAACGTGCGCTGCTATGCGCCTTTCCGCCTAAAGGTACTGCTGGTGGGGCCTGACCGGATATCTCGGTGCTCCAAAGCTCACGTCGTCTGACCGACCAGATCTATGAACAAAGAGCAAACAACGTCTTTTCGCTGCCATAATTGGATACTGGGATACAGCGTCTTCTCAATAATGGGCTTCTCTTCTAGTAGCACCATATGGTTCAACGCTTTCATGGCCCGCCGCCGTAGCTCGCCGAGTAGTTGCTACAGGGACTTCTCAGGGTCCGTGAACCCTGAGAAGTCCCTGAACCCTGAAGCCAAGCGCCAAGCGCCAAGCCCGTCCAGTGCCGACCTCAGCGCGAATACTTGCTGCGCGATTTGTTCGTTGTCGGCGAGCAGTGGATAAACGACCTACTACGTACCCACTCGTTACTTCTTGTCATTGGATGGTCACTCTGTATACTATATGAATTTTGCTATCCGGCTATGCCGGCACAGCAGACGCCTGTCCGGGTAGCAGCATATAAGAGGGCCTTCTCTTCAGGAAAGCTAGAGCTGTGGTGTCCCAATTGCTTCTCTCCTGCAATCTAGACCCCAAGCTGCCAGCTGCTCCTCTCCAAGACAACGCCCTCAGCCATGCCTTCCTGGATCGTCAAGCTCGGTGCCCTTGTGGCTTTGGCGCATACCGTCGCCGGATCTCAGATCTCCCTCAGGACGACCACGCCGCCCGCGAATGAGTACGTGACACACTGCACTGTCATCCTCGACGATGAGCTTTTTGGCTGCAAGGGCAGTTCAAAGCCTTTCGGAAAGAAGTGCGGCCACAACAGGGGCATTCAGACCAAATCTATCTGCGATACATCATCCGTCACTGTCGATTGGTCCACCGCCCAAGTCACCTTCCAGGATAACAATGGCCACTCGGCTAACTGCACGCTGAGTTCGACTGAGGAGGGAGGTCACTGCAACACTGACGACCCTGATGAGTTCCCAATTGAGCACAATGGAGCGGAGAGGCTCGGAGCCGGAGCTGCCCTCTGGGGACTTGGCACCATGGCTGCCACCCTATTTATCTAAATTTGACGATTGCACTCAAGAAACTGGGTAAGTGCTTCTGGGTTGAGGCGTCAGCAATGTCCAACTACTGCTGGTACTAGACGATCCACTAACAAATTCCTATCTGATCAGGTCTTTCGCCATTTCATGATTACACTATTCCCATGATCACTGGCTCAGCTACCAAACCATTGATACCGTTGGAAGCAAGTCTATCATGGATGCCGTTATCATATACCCACGATCTCCCGCATCTATGTCTGAAAGGATAGGGATAACGCAGGACCGAATACACTGAGGCAATACTTTCTAATGAGCTATTTTTCTTATCTTTCTTCGCCTCTACCATTATGTATATAGATTTATTTCTTAGTCAAAAAGTAACGAGAAAAAAAATTCCATCATACCTCAATTTCTGTTTTCTACCCACCCAGTCACCCTCAAAGCGAGTAGAAGAGTCTTCGGCACCGTATACCCGAGGGACCACTCACCCCCTCCCGGCCCAACACTTCCGACCAACAACCTCGCTATGGCGCTCGTTAACCGAAAACGAAGTTAGTTCGGCCAAGATCATGCAATTAAGCGTTGGGGCTGCCGCGTCTTGGCACACAGTCGGGGAGGAAAGCTCGGCGTCCTATGCCGCTTCGGGTAGGGTTTGCATTAGACCGCCCTCGGCAATGCTTACGACTGGTATGAAGGCTTATCAATTTTGATTTGAGTCATGTCTATGTTGAGTTAGTTTGTATAGAGCTGACTGGGCATGTTGTGTTTCTTTGAGTTGGAAATACATATGCACTCGGATAAATCTTGGTAAAGTGGGAAAGTGCCGAACACGGAAAATGTTTGACTGCAGTTGAATAATTCGCAGTCTAACTGGTAGTGTTGACTCTAGGTTAATAAACCTTTAGTATTTTGACTGGGAATAGGTAGAATAATTATAGATGTGTGTGTATAGAGTAAGGAGAGGAAAAAATAACTCATAAACTGCAAAAAATAAACATGAACTAACAAGTCACAAGACATTTATCATAATCACAACAGGTCTATCGTATATAAAAAGAGTGTAAACCCCGCCAAGTCCCGCTGCGAGGATACCAAGAAACCTGCCTAGTCCAAACTAGCATAATCTTCCATACCCTACCACCTAAGCCCACCGCTTCTCAGCATAGCCATAAAAGCTATCGGCTTAGAAAAGCGACGAAGAGCATCCAGCAAGACCCATCGAGATACCAAAGTTGGAAAAGTGTCCGGCAGTGACACCAACCTGGCCATTACCCGCCGAGCAAGAGGTATCGCGCTCACCACTGCACTTGACCGTGGTGGCCTGGGTTCCGGAGCTGTAGTATTCCTGTAGTAGACCAAAGTTAGGAGTTTATCTGAAGCGGACCCATAGAAGTAGGAAAACTTACAGTGCCATAGTGAACAAAGTCCCAAGGCCACATGACGTACATGTTCTGAAACATAGCTAATAAGCATTGAAGGTCAGATCAGAAAGGGCTGAGAGCAACTTACAGGAACACCATCATCAGCATTGTTACCACGGTTCAGGGTGCCGTTCTGGGAAGCACCAAAGTTGGCAAAGTCCTCGTTACCGATGGGGTAGGCGGCAAGGGCATTGCTGATGATTGTCTTTCCGGGGAAGTTCTGCGCAAGCGCGATGTAGGAGATGTACGTGAGAGAGCCACCGAGGGAGTGTCCGGTCGATTCGATGGTGTAGTCGGGGTACTGCTCGACCAGCGACTTGACCTCCGAGATCACATCATCGTGTACGGAAGACCAGGGAGAATAGATGCCGTGCATCATCTTGGCGCCAGAGGGGAAGTTGACGCCAGACAGGCTGGGCTCGACGAGGGTGGTGTCGACGTCGTTGGCAATGTCGGTTGCTGTTGATGTCAGTTCAGTCCTTAGGCAATGTGGTTATGGTTTTGATGTACTAACCGCTAGTGGAACCCCTCATGGCGACGGTAATACGCTTCTTCTCAGTGGAGTAACCGATGAAGCCCTTGTAGTTTGTTAGTATAAGCAGGCTTGACGAGGGCACGGCACATACCTGGGTATCGGTTGTGAGCTCATTGATTTGCTTGGTGATGGTGACATCGAAGGCAGTACCGGTACAACCGGTGTAAGCTGCAGAGGACAGCTGCGCAGCTCTGTGTAGTTCCGTCCATTCGGCCGTATCTGCAAGAGTTAGAAACTGGCGATACCAAAACGTCGTAGAAGGCTAACCGGCAGTGGCTCGAGACTGGAGCATTGGCACAGCCAAAGCCAGAGGAGTCAGGGCGAGACCGCCAAAAAGAGTGGACTTTCCGACACGCATGACGAAAGAAATGAATGACAAGAAAAAGACCGAAGTAAGAAACGAATGGTGCTACAATGATTCTCGAGTTTGCAGGTAAAGAAGAACAGAACCGTTCTAACCAACTTCCTTTTATAATGCTACATCCTTCTAATCTGTGTGCCGGTAAAAATCGATCGGTTGAAACAACACTGATACATCACCTTAGATTGGGTACCCCGGGAGGAAAAATCACCGGAACGGAAATCATCCTTGGATAGGATTAGATTAGGGATTAGACTTCGAAACCATGTGCAGCACTCACCCATGCGCCGAGGTTAAAAAAAGGCAGTTTGCTTGCGGTTGGGAACCATCAGTGGCTCACCAGAATTCGGGATGTGATTAGGGCTTGCTCCGTTGTTTCATGATCGGCTATAGTGGGGATCCGTTCGGGCGACCCAATTTTGAGCCCCGGGCGTTCAGTGGTTGGACCGCACCCTTTGTTCTAATAGTGTAGCTCCCTAGCGGCCGGTAAATGAATTGCCAGGAGTATACTTAGAACCGTTCGACATGTCTCGTCTTCAGTGCCTCTGGGAAAACCTCGGAAGGGTGTTTGAGGCCTCAACGCGGGTTCCGCCCCACTCCATCGTTTTCGATAGATGTTCGCCCGCCATCACACTGAACTTTGATTGTCGCAGATCATTGAATCGGATGCCAACTCCGCCATTGTCGCGGGATTATTGAATGGCCTCACACATGTCCTTGATGTACTGTGTCTGTATGTCGAGACCGAGCATTGGCTAAATCTTAAGTGAATTCAAGCAGTTTTGTTCATTGATACCAAAACACTTGCCCCGGACCATTCCTAACATTTAACCCATTTATCTGGATTTTATGGCAGGTTATGGTCACGAGGAAAGTGCCCTGTCCCACAGCTTCAGGGTAATGGAAAAGAGAATATCCGTTTTTTCATTTCCCGGCGTATCCCAGTCCAATGATCAACCACGAGGCACTGTCCATGATCGTGAACACGCATGGGACGGGACTGTCAGTCTGTTGATCATTAGGACTGCGGACAGAATTCGAGAAGATCAGTCTCCACAAAGTATGACCACGGGATGATCGTAGAAGAATTGGAAGGTGTGAACCGTTATAATGGCCATTCTCATGGCCCACATGGTCCAGCCCAATTCTCAGTCGTTGTTGCCGGTTTTCCCGAGGCGACAAATTGCAGGAACTTGATTGTAGTTGTCGTTTCACAGAGATACGGGCCTAGCCAGCTTGGTTAGAACGTGTATTGCGGAAATCTGAATAGCCTCCTGTTGGGTCCTGGATTTCCCAGATAGAAATTATAGGAAGACCAAGCTGAAGTCCGCTGAGATGCCGTTCAACGTAGGCACAATACTGTCCAGATCTCCATGGACTTCTTCCTGGTCAAAGCGGCTTTTTGATCATTGATAGCGGCATTGTAGTTGCCTGAAAGAAATCTTCGATCATTGATTTGGTTGGCTTGGCACACTGATCGTTACATATATATATCTTGCAGTTTCTACAAAATAGGGCGTGGATCGGTCATATTCACCTATTGAATCAGTTTACATATATTTCCCTCATATCAAGCCATGTGAAAGCCGCCTTCCTTATCATACGTACTATCCGACAATCGGATCGTTCATGCCCGCCAAACTCCCGGTAACATAATTGCTGATACGACCAAAAAAAAGCATATGAAAGCTTACGTGTAGCAGAGCATGCGCTAGCCGGAAAATTACCAATCAATCTTATTTCGATTCGTAGCACGTCACTACCGATATACACCTGGAAGATCAGTATGCTCCCCTCCTGTAAAGTAAACATTTACCTAAATCGATTGTTAATCTCCTCCATCATCGCCCCGTACTTCATGCATCAGAACCAGCTGACCTATGCCTGATCTTTATTCTGAATTGCACAGGCTTGACAAACCACATATTCTTTGACCTCATGTCTGTACCATCTTTCTGCTGTATATCGATGTCATAGTCCCGAACGAGCTGCGGGATGAGCTTGTTGATCTCATACAGCGAGATATTCTTGCCGATACAAGTCCTTGATCCAACTCCGAAAGGAATGAGACACTGTTCCATCATTCGGAGCTTTTCAGAGTCATCCGTCAACCATCTCTCAGGCACGAAGTCATCAACATCGGAGCCCCAGATACTCTCATCCCGGTGAATGACCCAGCTATTCACACCGACATTCGTCTATAACTCCATCAGCACATGGTGGATATGGATCCAGAAAAGGCACAACTTACACCTTCCGGGAAGAATCGTCCACAAATAACAGCACCACCCTTCGGCACGATACGGAAAAGCGGAAACCCAACACCCGGATGCAGACGCATCGACTCCTTGATAACAGCCTGCAGATACGGCAATTTCTGAGTATCCTGGAAAGAAGGCTCGCTTCCTAGACCAGCGTCTTGAATTTCTTGTCGCAGCTTCTGCAGCTTCTCGGGGAACCGAAACGAGTAGAATATCACTGAGCTAAGACCAATTCCCGTGGTGTCACTCCCAGCACCAATATTGGCTGCTGCGCTTGTTTGAATATCCCTATCTGTCAGGCCTTTGACGTCCTCTTTCCGAGCATGAAGAAGCCTTTGGACCATAGGCTTTAGCCCCTCAGGAGATGGATCTTTGAGATACTCCTGTGACAGCTCCATGAACTTCTGCGCGTTGAAACGAGCCACGTACAAGGCATCTGACTTCGCGAAAAAGCTGCCGAGGAAAAGAGCCAATGGCCGCAGCCATAGGAGAAGGCCCACCAGACTGCTAAAGGTGAAGCTGTTATCCAAGTTGGAGATCAAGTTATTGATGTCCTTGCCCTTATCCAGGAAACCGAATCGCTCGCCGTACTGTTTAATTTAGCATGGCTCCATGGGGGTAAATAAGGGGAAGGTTGGGCTGGAAGAGCATACCGTAATCTCGCTAATGGTATCAAAAGCAAAGCACTGAAGCCAGTGTCCTAGGTCCAAAGTCAACCCGTCCTTTGCAGTGGAGTCGAGTTTCGCACGCAACCGCCGGATACAGTTATCCACATAGGGCTCGTACGATACTACAGCAGACATGGCATACATGGCTGCGACCTTGCGACGGGCGCTGGAGTGATCGGCCGTGTTTCGGACGGAAAAGAGGTTATGGCCCTCCGGGTCAGGTGAAAAGTTCCAAGCTTCGTACCAGTCCGACTTGATAAACTTGGAGCCGTGGGCATATATGGTCTTGAGAGCATCGAGACCATTGAGACTGTACCAGCCCGGTGCAATCCGCACAATCTTGCCTGTGAAGGTCTTCAGCACCCAATCTTGTTTATTCTCTGGTCTTCACACATACCATGCTCCCGATGAAGTCTGATATTGGTATATTGGAAGTCACCTCTCATCATTTGTCTGATATACCAAAATCGAGTGAAGCGGGCCAGAAAAGGGCCGGGAATGTCACGGTCAGGGGACAATGCCCGTCTGACAAAGACCCACAGGACCAGGCCTAGAGCCAGAGCAGAAAGCGCGGGGGTGGAGTACATGAGCATTTTGGAATCCCGAAATGAACCAAAGCTCTGCTGTTGTGAGCAGATTCTTGGTAAGTCTGCGTTTACTTGGAGCACCAGTGCACACTCTTATACTCCTGCCACGCATATAGCCAACTAGTCCTCGGAGAATTCGGTCTCGGAGATGCTGACCATGCATGCATATTGCCTTGAATGTTATAATCTAAGCGGTTTTGTCTCCACTTGCTGTTGATCTGCAGGGATATTTGCTTGACTAAGCGGATCTCGGCTCCATGAGCGGAACTTGCAGTTGAACAAGATCTTATTATACATTGAATATCGAACACCGAACATGGTTTTGAGCAGTTCGAGTGATGAATCTAGCTGTTAGCTTAGACAATATCCTCCTTCATAAAGATTTTTAATATTACATATGCTACCCTCTGAATCATCTGTAGTTATATCGGTCCTCCGAAGTGCGGACTGCTGACGCGGGGGATTCCCGATCAGGGTTCAATGCATCCCGTCAACAACCCGCCAGGTGGCTCTGATGTCCGCCAATGAGACGAAGATGGAATAATACCCCACGGCCCGGGGTACCCTTTCAAGACTACATGATAAGACGGCTCCAGCCCACATTACCCAGACCCGTAACCAATTGATCAATTGACGATTACTGTGTACTATTTGTGTAGGTGAATCTCACCACGTCTGGTGATTACGCTAATCACAGCACGGGTCTTAATGTCTTGTCTGCCGACAGTACTTTTCCGTTCGAGATGAAGTCAATTGTAGTATTTTTCCACAACGCCCCTCTGCACTGACTCCAACCCTCGTTCTATAGATCCCTTCCTAGTCGAGATATATATATACATCCTTCAGATCAGGCGTCTGCCAAGTACAGTAATCTAGACCTGAGGTGCAGTATTACTAATGACACCCATGGGCCCATGACGCACACCCACACGCCCTTGGATATATATATATCCCCACCAAGCCAAGGATAGACTGAATAGAGTCATGTGAAACAATGTTCTTAGAGCCCATACAAACAGCTGCCATGCTGAGCTATTCCTTATTCGTTGATGCTCATCCAAGTGGCTGGTTGTCTAAATACACAATATATGGTATCCGTCCTACTAAGTTAGGATGACTATTCGTCTATAATATAACCAAGAGCTGTAGAGGGCCGGAGAAAGAATTAGAATATAATAACAAAATACGAATGAAAGTAATACACTGTACTCTTTCTCAGACTTTCCAATAGTAAAATGCCTACGAAAAACCCACCAATCGATCAAGGAATGGCAGTGCGTTACCCAATTCCTTGTTCATCATATTGCTGCTGAGAAGCAACGTGCAAGTTCTTAGTAATCTAGAGAAATAGAGCGGAGCAATAACGTAAACCAATGGACTCCGCAATAGCAGAATTACTTTCAGTTCCGTACCCTGCTGAGAAAATAGGGTAGAGACATTGACATGCAATCAAATAGTGGGATAAAGCTGAAGTAGACGGGACCCGAAGCAAAGTAGTTAACAATCATCTCAGGCTTAAGCTATGGTACAGTAAATTCCTACGTGACCGTGTTATTTATAGCCGAAATACCCTGCATGTTGCTAGACTAGTTCCATGTGTCGCAATATTACCAATCCTTCAGGAAGACCGCCTTATTACACCACACCCATGCAGGGATAACCCATGTTACACTGTGGATGCAGCCACCCGCCCAATTATCACGATGACAATCTTATCCATCTAATCCATCTTACAGATACAATTGCATCTCATCTAATCGGTTAGAAACTCATTATTTACAATACTCTAACTTACACAGAAACCGAAAACACCAACAAAAGAAAATTCCTATCCATCCTGCCTAAAATCTTTGGACACCATGATCCCATGCAACGGCACCTCATCCCCCTCCTCGCCATTGCCCAACTTACCACCACCGGCACCTCCAACCAACCCACTTGCTCCCCTACTCCCTCTAATATTCGTAACTGTCAGGCCGCGATCATGTTTTGGCCTCAACACTGCATCCAATTTGATCTGCTTCTGTGTGACGCCTATGCCTCCCTCGTCGTCAGGTAGATGGTAGAAGGAGTGGCGATTGGCGCGCGCCGCCGTCATGCCCGCCGTGCTGCCCGTGCTGTCAGCGGGCATCTGGCTACCGTCGGACTTGGAGAGTGGAGAGGTGCGACTGCGGAAGAGGGCAGGCACGAGGGCGGATTTGAGGCCGAGTTTGCGGGCGGCGAGTTGGAGCGCTGGACGCAGGGTGGGAAGACAGGCGGAGACGATGCCAGCGGACATTTCGATTGCCGTCCAGCCGACGGTTGGGGCGAGGGTGTAGCTTGAATCGGCGGAGGTATAGCTGAATAGGACGGTGAAGCGGTAGGCGGAGGCGAAGATTACGCTGTTTTGGTTCATGTGTTAGTGGTGGTGGTTTGTTAAGGGGGTAAAAGGAGGGGGGATGTTACAAGAAACCCAGGCCAAAGGCGACAGTGAGGGCAATTTTCTCAGACAACCGGAGCTGGAGCTTCCAGACTTGTGGGAGAGGAAGGAATAGGATGATGAGGTCTGTGGCGATGGTAGAGGTTGCGTTGGCGATCCAGGTGCCGACTTGACTGATGCAGTGGCCGGGGAGACTGGGGTACCAGAGTTTCTGGACGGGGACGCAGATGAAGATGAACAGAAAAGTGATGCAAATGACCCAGAGAATGACAAAGGTGCCGATGGCGTAGGCCCATTTCTTGAAGTAGGGGAAGCGGAAAATGCGGTAGTACATAAGGAGAATGCTGAGTTTGGTCCAGACTAGGTTGAAGACGTAGAGGATTTCAGCGACCACGAGGTATTTGGCGATCAGGATGATTTGGGAGGTAGGGAGTTTGTCGGCATGGATTCCCATTCCCTCGTGGATCATGCCAAAGATGAAGCCTACGACAATGAAGTTCCATAACTAAGTTGGATTATTAGCTGCATGCATTGGTGTAGTGGTAGTGAGGAGGAAAACCCTACCATCGAGAATATAATCATCCAGTCATCCCACCATAATTTCTGCTTGCGTTCTAAACGGGAAATCACCCGCAGAACAACACAAATGAAAGCCAACACCGTCACAGAGACCGTGGTGGCCGTGGCCCAAGGTTGGAGATCTTGCTTCTCACCCATCGCCCCGGATGGAGACACACATACACACACAGTTCAAGCACCAGTACCAGCACCAGCACAGGGACAGGGACAGGAACCGGTGGTCCCACGCCCGTCAGGGCGAGAGCGGATCATTTAATATAGCAAAGGCATTAAGGCGGGAGAAATTGATCATGCAGAATGAGTAAAATCTTCAGCAGCAGTCCAGGATCCGGCAGAGGGTCCCCACTCGGGCCAGGCGCCAGACCACACAAACTTCAGTGCGGATCCAACACTTTCCCATTCAGCAGATGGCAGCCGTGACCAACGAATCATCCCCAAGCGATCCCCCAGGTCTGACCTGTCAGATACTCAAATTTTGAAGTTTTGAACGCGCGGGAACTGGTCCGACTGTGCCGGTCTGTCGCCAAGGCCACGCCAGCCGCGACCGGTTCTTTTAGTTGCGACCAATATTGGACTCCTTGCCTTCTAGACTGTTTTGCTTTTTACAGGCACACGCCCGGATACGATCCGGGGGTGACTCTCGAGCCTCGAATCTCGTGTCCATCGGATTCCTTCCCGGTTGACTAGTTGATTAGTTTACTCGATAGAACTACATAGTTCAGGCACGCAAGATACATCCGACCATACAGGAATATTCTTCGTATCTACATATAACTCTGATCCACAGAGTCCTACCTAGTATGGGGGTTGATAAGGTTGAATCGCGCTTACGCCCCATATTTCTGAACCATCTCCAACACCGCCGCATTGACTTCCCGCGGGTTTGTCGCATTCAGATAATGCGCTCCGTCTTGCACCAGCACCAATTTTGCCTCCTTGGACCTGGTGAACTTCGAGATCTGCTCGCTTGCCACCGTAGTCTGGAAAGGGGTATCTTCCGTGCCCTAAGGATAGTAGTTCGTATTAGCCCCACCCCCAACCAAACCGAACCGAACCGAACCATTGCAACACTTCCCCGATGTGTCTTTGGGATAAACTCACCTGCAACCAATAAATCGGACACTGCACATCTCCCAGCCTCAACACCAACCCATCCCTCGTCAACAGACACATCAGTGCCATGCGCACCTTCTTCCGTCCTTCATCGCCTTTGTATACTTCCTTCAGGACATCCTTCCAATACCCGACCGTCTCTTCTGTCGCGCCCTTTCCGAAGCCAATGCCCCCAACCATGCCGCACCACACATCATCCACGACAAAGTCGGGGGTGGGTGTCGCGCTGCTCCATTTCTCCAGGAATGGAGTCAGCAGCGTTACGGGATCCCAGCAGCCCTTGGTTCTGGAATCGGAGGACTCGTAGTCCATGGATGTGCCGAGAGGGAGGACGCCGAGGATCTACCACCATCATTCACACGCAATTAGTACGACACTACCGTCAAAATATTACCCATCATCACCGACAAGAAGTCAAAATCAATAGAAAAGAATAACAGGATATATATACGTACCCTCTCCGGCGCCAACAGCGCCATTCGCATAACAATCCATCCACCCTGGCTGGTTCCCAGAGTGAACGCCTTCTCAATACCCAGCTTATCCATCACCTGCAGCGCCATGATGGCCGTATCCCAGTAAGTAAAGTGCTCCGCGACATGGCAATGCGTGGCACCATGACCGAGAGGCTCAACAGCGAGAAGATTTGCCGCGTTAGTGAGAGTCTCGTCGTTGAATTGGGGTTCGTAGAGCGCAACAGTCATGCACATGGAGTTGATGAGCACTACGGTCGGCTTGGCGGGGTCGTAGGTGTTGTTGTTGCTGAGGCGGTAGCCGACGTCGATGCCGCCCAGATGGGGGACGGTAATGGTGGTAGTTGCTGCCATATTGTCTTTCTTTCTTTCCAGTGAACGATAATGTAGTATGTGTAGAAGAGAGAGGAGATAGATAGATAGCCCTCTACTCAAAAAAGGAGGTGAGATTGAGGAGGGGTAAGCTTTGGTGATGGTATCACGTGGGGCCAACACTGAACTCTACTCAACAACAACTCAACTGTCGTATCGTGTCAAAATCAATAGTCTAATTCAATTCTTGGTACCAGGTACAACTTACCGCGCGGACAAGAACCAAGGAACCAACCAACAAACAAACATGAGCGGGGGATGGGGATAACTCCTTCCCGAAACTGACACTGACAGGCCAAATGACAGTTCATTTGAACGGAGAAGCTACCGTTTTCGGATGGCAAAACCCGTCCCTGACTCCATCATCTCCAACACAAAAAGAAACCTCGGAGGCTAGTAGCCTACAAAAGCCATAAAAGTTGTTAAACCCTAACTGTAACTCGCCTCACTACGGAGTATCTATTACTACTGCATCGTACCTCGGCCTCACCCCGAAACCCTCCCGAGTCTCAACCGAGAAACAAAAAGAAAAAGGGATCCGCAGGGCTGGGTCCCTTGCCACGCGCTCGATTGGTTCATGCAGCTCAGATAAACTTCTGATGGGCGTTTCGGGCGCTTTTTAGCGGGTAAGCCACTATGCAGGGGGTTTTGAAGCAGAGTAGATAGCTTTTTTGTGTTTGTCACACTGGGGACTGACTCGCAACTCATCATGTCATCAGTTCGAACAAAGGTATTAACTTTGATTAATAACGGTCGGAACAAACGGAGAAAGGGAGAAGGACCGTGGAACACAAACTTATGACAGGAAAACTTAAGCTTAATGCCGCGTGGTTGGGTGGGGAGAGTTATTCGTCATGGTGGGTTTGCAGCTTTTGCCATGTGCCGAGGGTTCCGGCATAATGGAAGATTTTTTTATGATTATGAAACATGAAGATGCACAGACATACAGACATCATGCAATCGTGATCAAATCATATCATACCATACTCATAACTAGCCCGCTGCTATAGAACAACCCAATTATACCTTCTCTTCATGGGAACTGCTTCCCTTTTCCCCAAAATCAGCCACCTCCTGTCCATCTTGCACGCTCCTCTCCTCCGGCACCTTCGCCCACCCTATCTTCCACCAACTCTTCGTAAACAACTCCTCCATTTTCTCCATACTCCGTCCCTTACACTCCGGAAACCCAACCCCGGCCCACACCGTCGCGAGCGTCGTAAACGCCGTGAACAGCGCAAACGGGCCCCAAGACTGCATACTCTCAGTCATACTGGGGAACCCGCGCGTAATGCCGAAATTAAGCAGGTTCTGGTACGTGAAAGCAATTGTCACCACCGTGCCGCGAATCCGGGTCGGACAGATCTCCGACGAGGTAAGGGAGAAAACGGGGGCCCAGCCAAACCCGTAGCCTACAGCGTAGAGGCAGATCGCAACAATGCAAGCATACGAGGCGGCGGAAGGGGAAGCTGTTCCGGATGAGGAAGGTGGACTGAGGGCAAGATAGCACGTCAGGTACAGCAGACAGACGACGTTGATGGTGGAGCCGATCAGCAGGAGAGGACGCCGGCCGAAGCGTTCCGTCAGGAACCAGGCGTAGAAAAAGACGGAGAGGACCTTGACGAGTCCGTATGTAGCGGTGAAGAGGAGAATTTGGGAATGACCCAGGCCGATAGATTCCAATATATCTGGGGTGTAGTAGGTGATGCTGTTGCCACCGGACATGATGAAGAAGGTTTGGATGAGGGTGACAAACAGGAGGATTTTGCGGGTCGGTGGGTGATTGATGCATTCGTGGAGAAGGGATAGGAAGGCTTTGGTGGGGGTGGTGGGAGTGTATGTGGTATCGAGCTTGCTGAGCAGTTCGGCGTATTCGCGTGCGAAGTACTCGGTGCTTTCGTCCATGCCGCCACGGAGTCGAGACAGGCTGCGACGGGCGGCGTGAACGCGGCCACGCATCATGAGGTAGCGAGGGCTTTCGGGGAAGAAGGGGAATCCAAGGAAGAGGATGATGGCCGGGATGGATTGCAGGACGAGTGTGGTACGCCATTGCCAGCTGGAGCTGTCGGGGATGACTAGGTACGAGGCGTAGTTGATCCAGTAACTTCCTGTGACGCCGCTCATGATGCTCACATTGTAGAAGGTGGTCATCATTCCGCGTAGCTCGAGGGGTGCAACTTCGGAGATGTATACTGGCCCTGCTGACATTCCCAGTCCAGACCCTAATCCGGAAAGAACACGCCCGACGAGAAGTTCAGCGTAGGATCCCAGGTTGGCGGCCATGAGAACGGCTCCAATTGCATAGCAGATGGCGGCAGCGAGGATTACTGCCTTTCGGCCGCGACGTTCTCCTAGTGGACCTGCGAGCAAAACCCCGACAGTTTGGCCCTGTATATAATAGCACTTGCTTAGTTCGTGCACTTTAGAAGATCGCGAATCACATACCAGAAGCATGGATGAAACCACCCAGCCCTCATTATTCGAAACAGCCGTGCTGGAAAGCTTGTCCCAGCCAAAGTCTGGATCCCATTGCTCCATCTGCATAGCACCCGAGATATTGGACGTGTTGAAACCATGCAGACCACCGCAGTACGACGCCCAAATGATGGCCAGCCAGATGTATAGTCCACGGGCCGCAGGAGGCACCTGCTTGATGGCTTGGGGAGAGAACCCGCCGCCTGTTGCTCCCATGCTGAACTAACGGTATGAGTTTTGCGGTATTTTCGACAGATAGAGATCCCAAGTTACCAGAACCGGGCTGTCAACATGCAATTGACAACTCAGGTAAAGGGATCTACTAAATACCCCAGGATGTCACGGCCGATGCAACCAAACGCATGATCAGTCCACATCTGCAGGTTTGGGGGGTAGCAGCCAATCCAATTTGGCCGGATGTCATCCGCTGCCAGCCAAGTCTGGGGTATGCGGAGAACCTATCCGGGGTATCTCTTGGGTTACTCCGGCTGGCCGGAGCTGTCCATGAGAACCATACCCTGCGCACTGACATGGTGGTGTTGTGGTACCACCAATGAGGGCGGCGCTTTAGTCGTAATGCTGCTCTTGTGAAACCTCGGGAAAATAGCATCTAAGACCGAAAGATACGGCATTTATATAGGCGGCTGATATTTGGGCTCAACATATTGCCGAATGTTCTTTGCGATCATTCCTAATTACAGTTAGCCCGGACATTATGTTTAAGCTAGACGATAGAAAGTGATTACAGTCATATACTGCTGACTTCATGTGCTGAAGAATACCCCTAGACTGCTTTCCAGGGCATACCATGGTATTTCTCAAGATCCTCTTTGAGGCACTAGCTTTAAGGTGCACCTCAATACATCTGGAGCGTCATCCAAGGCACTTTCTAGGGCACCTGCAAGGCGACCACCTAGATACTTTCAGTAAACATCCGAGGCCGAGCTCCCGGGGCACTATGTGTGTGCTATGAGACTGCTACGGAGGCGAGCTTTAAAGTAATAGAGAAAGTAGAATAAGTACAAGTCTCAATTCCCTACTTAGGTAGAGTGCGTCTGAGTGAGTCACTTAATGGAGTCTCTCTAGATTTGCTTACTCTGAAGTCCATTCGGCGAGATGGTGAGTCCAAAAAAAGATATTGCCATTGATATATACAAGCTTTCTATACATTTATTTCTCCAAAAAAGAATCATCAGCTATGTACCGTGGCCTTAATATGGTTCAAGGCACTGCCAGCCCGAAGCCACGGGAGCTGTCCGGCATGATAGCTGTGGCACAACTCAGCCTCCCAGCTGTCTCCACGGCGCGGAGTAACCCGCATGATAACGTTCTTGCCCGGCTGCAGCTCTCCCTCTTCTACACCAACCAGAGTGATGCGATCCCCCTCTTGCACTCGGTCATAGTCAGCAGGATCAGCGAATGTAAGCGGGAGCATTCCCTGTTTCTTCAAGTTGGTCTCGTGAATACGAGCGAAAGATCGGGCGATGATGGCAACGCCACCGAGGAAGCGAGGCTCCAGTGCGGCGTGCTCACGCGAACTGCCCTCACCGTAGTTGTTATCTCCGACCACGCACCAACGAATGGAGCGGTGCTTCAAGTCCCGGGCCACTTCATGAGTAAGCTGGACCTCGTTCGTCAGCGGATGTCTCGTGTGGCCTAGCTTCTGCGGGTCGTTGTCTAGGAATGCATTGGTTGCGGTTGTGAGCATGTTGTGGCTGATGTTCTCCAGATGCCCTCGATACTTGTACCACGGACCAGCCGGCGAAATATGATCCGTCGTACACTTGCCCTTGACCTTCATCAGCAACTCCATGTCAGTAGCACTTCCGCTCTTCCAAGCTGGGAAGGGCTCCAAGAGCTGCAGTCTGTCGGACTTCACATCGATGATAACTGAGTAGGAGGAGCCATCTAACGGGGGCTCTTGAAAGCGATCTGCACCAGGATTGAATGATTCTGGCAGTTCCTGGCCTACGGGAGGCGTAAGCCGCAGTGACTGGGATCCTTCCGCTGAGATACTGTCGGTGACAGGGTTGAAGTCCAGGCGACCAGCATAAGCAAAGGCCGTGACCAGCTCCGGCGACGTGACAAATGAGTGAGTAGCCGGGTTGCTGTCATGACGCCCCACAAAGTTACGGTTGTAGCTGGAGATCACCGAGTTCTTCTCTTTTCCGCGGACATCCACGTCTTTGCGGTCCCATGACCCGACACATGGTCCGCACGAGCTGCTGAGAACCATAGCACCGGCGTCTTCGAGATCCTTCAGGATACCAGCCTCTTCGGCGGTAGCCCGGATTCTTTCGCTGCCCGGCGAGACCAAGAAAGGAGACTTGAACCTGGTTATTCCGGCCGCCCGGGCTTGATTGACCAGCTGCCGGGCCTTGTCTAAATCCTCATAGGAACTGTTGGTGCAGCTACCCACCATGGCGTGGCTTAGATTCATTGGCCAGTCACTCTCAACGACCGCAGTAGCCAGCTTTGAAATGGGGTGGGCGAGATCCGGTGTGAATGGGCCGTTAACGTGCGGCTCCAGAGTGTTCAAATCGATCTTGATGATTTCGTCATAGTACTCCTCGGAGCCCTTATCAGCGGTGAGCAGAAGGTCTTTGACTGGGTTTGCCGCTTCCACAACATGATCGCGGGCAGTGGCACTCAAATAGCGAGCGATCGCATCCGAGTAGGGGAATATACAAGAAGTCGAGCCAATTTCCGCAGACATGTTGCAAATGGTGGCCATAGCTGTCGCGCCCAGAGTCTCCGTACCCGGACCGAAGAATTCTATGATGCGGCCTTTCCCTCCAGACACGCCAAGTATTCCTGCCAATTTGCAGATAATATCTTTTGTTGATGCCCAGCCTTGGAGCTCACCCGTAAGTTCGACTCCAATTACTTTCGGCGCGACCAGC